CTGCTGCGTACGCTCTGGTAAACCTTGTTGTAGGAGTGCATGACGATAGCGCGCGCCTCGAAGAAGCGATCGACGCAGTTGATGAGGCACTTCTGCTCATCCTTGGACAGGGCGGCACCGGGGCGGGTGACGCAGGTCTTGAAGCACCGGTTCTTGGTGGTCTGGACCATCTGCTGGAACAGCTGCTGGCCAACGCTCTCCTCCTGCTTTCGGTAGAAGTCCGCCCTCTGCTGATCCGTAATCTGCGCCATCTTTCTACGCTATTCGATTATGCAGTGATGATGCCGCGATTTTCTTTTTGCCAAGCCGGACTGGATTTTCCTGGCATTTCGTAACGTGCAGCATTTCTGCGCAATTGGCTTCAAGGTGGCGGCTGACGTCATCTCGCCAGTTTGCTGTTCGCCGAGAGTTGTGCCGCCGACTAGATGAGGAGCACTCGCACCACCACACTTACCACCCTCGCCTCTTCTTGTTCTCCCTACCGCCTTCCCCTCGCACTACACCAGCGCAGTGCTGCCCAATACTTCACCGGCCTGCACCCCCACATCAACACCTCCTACACCACCCTCACTAGCAACATGCGAGCCATCATCGTCTCCAAGCAGGGCGACCCCTCCGTGCTCGAGCTCAAGCACGACCTGCCCCTCCCCACCCCCGCCCCCGGCCAGGTACCGCACCACCAACCACATCAGCCCTGGTGGTCTCTGCTGACGTGTGCTGACGTGGCACGTGTGGGGTAGGTGCTCGTGGAGGTGAAGGCGGCGGGCGTGAACCCGGTGGACACCTACATCCGCTCGGGCGGCAACGGCTACAACGTGTCGCTGCCCTACACGCCGGGCGCGGACGGCGCTGGCGTGGTGGTGGACGCCCCGGCGCCCTCGGCCTTCAAGCCGGGCGACCGCGTCTACTTTGCTAGTACCCTCACGGGCTCCTACGCCTCACACGCGCTGGCCAAGGAGGTACCTACGACGCAGCTGCATCTACACGTGGCTGCGGGCAGGTTCTGATGGTGTGTCGTGTGTTTCGTGTGTGTGTCGTGCGTGTGCAGAGCCAACTCCATCCGCTGCCTGAGAAGGTGAGCTTTGGCCAGGGCGCCGCTGTCAACGTGCCCTATTCCACTGCCTACAGGCACCGTTTGCTCCACCAGCCTTCAATTCATCAGTCATCTGATCTGATAGCAGCCTGACTCATCAAATGAATGGTGGTGTTATGTGGTGTTGACTGTATAGGGCGCTGATCATCAAGGGCAAGGCCAGGCCGGGACAGACGGTCCTCGTCCACGGCGCCAGCGGTGGCGTGGGCATCGCCGCCGTACAGATCGCCGCCTCGCTCGGCCTGCGGATCATCGGTTCGCACGCCTCGGCCCCCAAAGGGCAGTTGTTCTCTTCGTGTCCATTGGCTCATTTACTCGTTGGCTCCTCCAATAGGCACGGCGAGCACCAAGGAGGGCCAGGAGCTGGTGCTCAGGGAGGGTGCCCATGCCGTGTTCAACCACAGGGACGAGGACTACCTCCAGCGCATCAAGGAGTCGACCCGCGACGGCGCCGGGGTCGACATCGTCATCGAGATGCTGGCCAACGTCAACCTCGCCAAGGACCTCGACGTCATCAAGCGCGGCGGCTCCGTCGTCATCGTGGGCAGCCGAGGCGAGATCAACTTCGCACCCAGGTATGCGCTCAACAAACGCCACTACGTTGTTGCTATCTTCTTCTGTGTCTTCTTCTTCTTACACTTCATCGTCTACACAGGCTCATCATGGCGAAGGAGGCGATCGTGACCGCGGTCGCGCTTGCGCAGTCGACGCCTGAGGAACTGGCCGAGCACCACGCCTTCATCGGGGCCGGCCTGGCCAACGGCACGCTGCGGCCGGTGGTCGACAAGGAGTTCGCACTCGGCGACGCGCCCAAGGCCCACGAGGAGGTCATCAGCGGCACCCACGCCGGCAAGATCGTCCTTCTTCCCTAAGAAACCAAGCCAGAGCCAAGCTTTATGCTTCATCAACATTCCACACCAGCTTTCATCCCTTAATTTTTCCAACTCGTCCCCTGAAGAAGGAAATTGGTGTTTCTTTTTATTTCCTTCGCATTTCTTTGGCCCAATCTGGTGTTTTTCCAATTCTCTTTTTGTTGCCGCCGGAGACAAATCGGTCTCAAACAAATCGATCGATCGGCACAGCATCGCATCGACAGACGAAACATAAACATGGGACGCAACGTTGCCAAAAAGAAGGCCGCCGCTGCCCCGGCAGCCAAGAAGAAGCCGACCACATCCGGCCCCACCAAGAAAATCGCCAAAAAATCAACTTCTACAAAATCTCAAAATCAGAAGATTAAATCGACGAAACAACAAACTGCCAACTCCTCTGCTTCATCTCCTGCAGAGGTTAATTCTACTACCTCTCCTTCTTCTCCTTCCTCTACTTCATCTCCCTCCATCACAACCTGCGCCACCACGACTTCGCAATCTCCAGTCCCCGCCCCCGCCCCCGCCCCCGCGGTGCGCAAGCCGTCGGCCAAGCTGGCCGCGCGTCGGGCCAAGGTGCTGAGCTACGAGGCCCAGCTCGCGCCCGGCCAGGGTCCCAAGCCCGTCAAGGGCGTGCAGAAGGGCGCCGTGCCGACCAAGTCCGAGGGCGAGCTCAAGCGGGTCGAGCAGCTGGCCGCGCACCTCCGCACGCTGCAGGAGGACGAGGAGGCCCGCGAGCGGCTCCGGCGCCAGGAGGAGGAGGCGGCCCTGCGGCTGGCCCTCACCTCCGTCAGCCACCGACGCGGCGCCGACAAGACCGCCTTTGACGTGTGGGACGCCCACCCGGAGAGTACGACGCCGCACACAACACGCAAAACACAACACACGCGACACGCGCCACAAATGCTGACGTCATCGTGTGTCGTGTCGTGTCGTGTCGTGTCGTGTCGTGTCGTGTCGTGTCGTGCGAACAGAGATGGCGAAGCAGATGCTGCTCGAGCGCAGGCAGGTGGAGGAGGAGTGGGTCGACCTCACCATCCCCAAGCCCGTCAAGGTGAGACGCGTCTCTTCCACTCGACGTCGTGAGTCCTCTTGCTCACCGTGTGTCGTGTCGTGTCGTGTCGTGCGCTGTGCGTGTGTCGTGTCGTGTCGTGTGGTTGGTCGTGTGCGGAAACAGCCGCCGAAGGGCCTGTTGGAGAGGCAGCACCCGACCAACGTGCCGGCGGTGGAGGTGGCGGCGCCCGGTAACTCGTACCGGCCGACCTACGACGACCACCAGGACGTGCTGGGCGAGGTCCTGGCCAAGCGCCTCAAGCGCAAGGAGGAGAAGCGCAAGCTCAACCGCACCGTGCGCCCCATCCAACAGGGACTCAAGCGCAAGCGCAACGTACATTCCCTCGCATTCCTTCACATTCCCACATTCCCTCTAATTCCTTCACATTTCTCAACTCACCCCGTGCGTGTCGTGTCGTGTGCGCACACAACAACAGAGCAATCACGAGTACACTGCGGGGCTGGAAGATATTTTGGGCATCAAGAAGCCCGAGGCCGACGACAACGACGACGACGCGGTGTCGATGGCGCGCCGGCGGCCCATCGCCAGCAGCCGGTGGTCCATCAAGACCTCCAAGACCGAGCGCAATAAGCTCAAGAAGCGGGAGAACCGGCGCAAGACCAAGAAGTACAAGAAGCTGCTCAAGAAGCGCCGGGCCGAGCTCGAGGCGATTCCGGCGATCGCCGAGGAGATTGCCGAGGAGGAGACCGAGCAGGCGGCCTACCTGGAGCGCAAGCGCGCGGAGAAGGCCGACCAGGAGGGGAAGACCCGGCAGCTGAGCCGCCACGCGTTTGCGCGCCAGCCGACGCCGTACCTCCTGTCCGACGAGCTCCCGCAGACGCTGCGCCAGATGGCGCCCCTGGCCGACTACAACCCGCTCAAGGAGCGCTTCATCTCCCTCCAGAAGCGGAACCTCATCGAGGCCCGCGTTCGCGTTGGGTACGTCTCGCCTCATGACACCATGAAGCATGTGCGTGCGGCTGACGTGTGCGGTGTGTGCGGTGTGCAGTGCCAACCGACGGTACCGTGTCAAGACGTACGTGCCCAAGTCGGCCAAGCGGGACTGGGCGCTCATCCAGTCCACCTCCTCCACGGCCAAGTCCTCCGAATGATCAGTCGCCGCCGCAGCCGCCCGCACCACCGCCATCACCGCCTTCTTCCCCTAAACCAAAGCCAATGAAACGTTTTTGTCCCATTTTATGTGTCGTGTGCGCTGTGCGTGTCGTGTCGTGTCGTGATGTGTCACGCGCGGCGCGAGCCGTCGACTGCGCCGCGCTCGAGCCGGTTGTCGCGGATGCGGTTGAGGGCCTGCTCGCGCCGCAGCTGCTCCTCGGTGCGGGCGTCGATCTGCACCATCTTCCGCTCCTCTGCCCGCAGTCGCACTCGATTCAGCGCCACCTCCAGTTTTCGCTGTCCTGCGCGTGAGCGGTCATTTGTCTTTCAGTCGCGCCACACGCACACACAACCGCACACGCACACACCACCGCACACGCACACACCACACGCTGCACAGTTGTCGTTACCCTCTTCCAGCTTGGCGAGGTTGTCCGGCGAGGGCGTGAAGACGAGAAACTCTTGAAACTCCTCCACCGTCCGCCTGAACCCCACCACCCGCAGGAACGCCTCCTGTCGTCGCAGGCGCGCGTGTCGTCAACGGCATGTGCGTGCGTGCATGCGTGTGCGGTGTGTGCGGTTTTACATAATTTGGCCTTGTCCAGGACACCAGAGGGGGGGGCGTACGGCGGAGGGCAGGAGGGCGAGGGTGCGCTTGTAGAGTCCCGACACGAGCTTGAGCCGCGCGTAGCGCAGTCGGGCGGCGTCGACGGCGCCCTGGTCGGGCCAGGAGGGCTGGCCGGCGGGCTTCGGCGGGTCGATGATGTTGACCACCACCTGGCGCAGCATCTCGAGCGCTTGCACCCGCGCGTCTGGGAGCACAGCCTGCTCGTTAGCCACGCCGTCCACCGCCTGCGCCACCTCTGCCGCCCACAGTGCTTCCATGTTTTATGGTTCTGTCTTTTCTTTTTTTCTTGCATTTCCCATACTATTGATTTATTTCTTCATCTTTTTATTTTTTAAAAGTTTTTTCTTCTTGCATTTCTCATGATATTGATTTATTTCTTCATCTGTTCATTTTTTAAAATAAATCAATAAATAGAAATTAAAAAAGATTTCTATTTATTGGATGTGGGTGACTTTTTCTTTTCTCTCTTATGCTTCTTCTTGTCCCTCTTCTCTTTCCTCTTCTCTTTTCGCTCCTTCCGCCTCTTTCGCCGCTTCTTTCGCTTCCTCTCTTCTTCGCTGTCCGATTCTGACGATGACGATGATGACGATGAAGTGGGTGAACGATCTCGGCTCCTCCTCCTCCTCTTCTTCTTCCTACCGCCATCGCCGTCATCGCCCTCCTCGCTTCGCTCACCGACGTCGCCGCGCTCCCAACTGGCCTCGTCCTCCTCGATCTGCGGCTTGCGCTTCAGGAACTTGCGGTTGCCCCGCCCGCGCACGCACTTGCCGCCGAACGCCATCTCCTTGGTCGGACCCACCGACGCCGTCGTCGTCGTCGTCGTCGCGGGTGCGTCTGACTGCTCGTGGGCCTCTCTCGCACGCAGCAGGGCCTGGCGCAGCTGGTCCTCGGTCCTCGGCGCACCACCACTATCCACCACCGGCTTGGCGGTGGTCTGCCGCCGCAGTGTCGCTTCCGCGGCTGTCGGCGCCTCGCCGATCCTCGCGGACCTCTTCGCTGCTGGCCCGCTCCTCTGTGTCGCTCGACGAACGACGTCGGCGCTTCCTATGTTCGCGCACCACGTTGGTGAGTGTTTGCACACATATCCGTACGACACACACGACACACACGACACGCACGGCACGCATCCGGTGTTGCACCTCTTGCGCGCGTGGTAGCCATCATCATCATCATCACTGGCGCGGCTGCGGCTGCGGCTGCGGCTACGGCTACGGCCTTGGCCTGCCGTCGCGCCGATCGTGGTCATCGGTGTCCGAGTTGTCGTGCTTCCTTCGGTGCCGCCGCCGCGACGGCGAGCGGTCCCCTGTGCCGCCGTGGTCGCCGCCGCCAGCGCGGTTGTGGGCCAGCGTGTGGGTGATCACGTTTCGCAGGAAACGGCGGTCGGGCACCCCTCGCTCGCCTGCTGTCGCCTTCCCCTGCATTTTATTTTATTTTATTCAATAAATTAAATCAACATAGAAGATGAAAATAAATATAAATAAATATAAATAATAGAGAGGGAAGGGGTACGAGGTAGGCGGTGGCGCCCTGCTGGGTGGCGCGTTGCTTGTAGAGGGCGGCCTCGCGCAGGATGGCCTGAATCGCTGCCACGCTGCTGTCGCCTCGCGCATCGTCATCGGTCGAGGTGAGCAATCCGCTCGGATTCAGCGGGTGCCGCATCGGAAACATCCTCTCCCTCTCTTCTTCTCTCCTCCAAATCAATCAAATAAAAGCGAATAAAAAAGAGAAAACATGTTTTCATTTCTTTTCTTTCAACCTTTACGGCCGATTTTCTTTTTCAGCTTCTTTCCGTCGAAGCGAAGAGGTCGGTGGACTTGGGGTGGGCGATGGAGTGGGTGGCGAGGATGGCGGCCTCCTCGCGCACCACGAAGGCCGTGTCCAGCACGATCACCGAGTTCCGTTCGCCCACGTCGAACCGCAGGAAGGTCGTCGACGCCGACGCCGCACAGGCCGCGCGCGAACGAAGCGGCTCGAAGACAGGAGTGGTGGTCTTCGTCATCTCCTTCTTCTCCTCCTCCGCCTCCGTCGACTCCTTGGTGATGTGTCCTAAAGTGCCGGGTTGCGCTTGATGCAGCTCAGGCTGTTCGCTCGGCGTGTGTGACGGCTCGGGTTGTGCGGCCCCGAGCTGTGTGCTATGGAGGGTCACATCGTCGCTTGCGCCAGTAGTTGCCACAGACCCATCATCTGCAGCGGTCGGTGCTATCAACGATGGCGGCGGTGACGGGTCGTGCGGTTGCTCGGGTTGTGCGGCCTCGGCCGGCGGTGGGTGTCCGCCATCAAGGGTCATGCCGTCGCTGCCACCATCAGTAGTGGTAGTGGTAGTGGTAGTGGTCGGCGGGGCTGATGACGGTATGTCACCGTCCAAGGGCGCGACGGCGGCGGCAGACGTCGACGCTTCTCTATGTGCGGCCTTGTGACGTTCAAGATAGTCCTCAACAAGGCGCACCAGCTGCTTCATGTTGCGGATGGTGACCTGCTCACGCACGAACGATCATGCCCTGCTGTGAGTCTGAAGATGAGAGGAGGAAGAAGAAGCAGCAGCAGCAGAAGAGCACGTACGCCGTTGAATCGCCTTAGGCGGACGCACCAGGCGCCAGCCCTATAGCCCACAGTCACAGCCGAAGGCAAGATCTGCGACAGTATCACCACCTGCTCGGGACCCTCCTCTGGCGGGGTCTGGGCAAGGGGGGCAGAGAGCAGGTGAGCCAAGCCACGCTGGTGCGGACGTACGTCACCTCGTCACGCGGGTCGATGGTCGGGAGTTGGCGTACGGGGGACGGAAGCCCATGCGAGTAGTGCCAGAGAAGCGACGAAGGCGTCTTGGCCTGCCAGTTGCCGCCGTACCAGCCATGCAGGAAAGGCACTGGTACGACGTGCGCCAAGTGAGACAACCACGCCACACGCCACGCCGCACGGCACCGGCCCGGTCAGGCCTGAGTACCTGAGAGAGGGCAGAAGACAAGACCACCAACGATGAAGTAGGACGCAAACGAGTCGAATCCGTGGAGCCGCGGCACCAGTGGAATTGTTGGCTGGCGGCGCGTGGCATCAAAAAAATCAGCGGTGAGGGCCAACAAACAACATAGCACAGGGCTCCAAGGGCGGGGTATACCCGTAGGATGGTCTCGACGTCGAGGACTTGACCGTACCTCAGCACGGTCAAGGTGCACTTATCGCCGGAGTACTTGCCACCTGCCAAATACAGGCGAACGTGGGCTAAAATGGTACCGGTTGCAAAAGGGACAAAGCTGCGTACCGAAGAGGTAGTCGACGCCCACCCTTTCGTTGTCGCGGAAGGAGATGGTGCCGTCATCAGCGATTTTCACGCCGTCGATCTCCATCAGCACTGGAAATAAGGTGCGAGATGGTTGATTGTAACAATCTGCTCCATAACCACTGGGAGAACAGCAGCTTTACCATCTTCAGTATTCAACACGGGCTGGCCGTTGAAGTAGGCGAGTGATGACAGCGGGTCGATCTGGGTCACCAAAACTACGTATCGAGTCGTTACGTTGGCATTACATCCAACTTAAGAAAACACGTCGGGCGCCTTTGGCTACGTACCTCCGCACTGGTCATCGTTCATACCGTAGTACTTCCGCAGCGTGGGGCTCTCCATTTTGGCTATCTGTGCGCCGACACGTGAGTCCTACACGCAGAGTAACAACGCCCACCACCTACATGGCCCACTCACACACACTCGACAATCCACGGCGGACGTGTACCGTGACACCGGCGTCGATGAAGGTGACCTTGCCGCTACGGTCGTATTCGGTAAGGAATCGCTGAATGACCGGCACGGGTATGATGTGACCGATGTTCTGGGCCTTGAGTCGTCGGGAGAACGCAATGCCCACCTGCCACCATTAACCGCGGCGTGAGCGAGACCTCGCGTTTGGCCGTGGCAGCGGACACCGCCAACAACGTACCACTTTCTTGCCCAGGAACACGGGTCCGCCCGAGTTGCCCGAGTTGATGGCGGCATCGATCTGCACGGCCAGCAGCGGCGTGCACCTATTTACATACACCTGCACATCCACCCTGGAGAGCGAACACGCATCGGTGAGCAGTCACAAGGCGCCATCGCGGACTATGCAAGCTTGTTCGAGGCAACGACGTACCGGGAGACGACGCCGCAAGTGACCGAGATGTTGTCGCCACCGGTCGGGTAGCCAACGCATGTGACGGACTCCTGGAGCTGCGGTACTTTACCGAACTGAAGCGGGGTGTAGTCGGCCCAGAAGGCCTCGTCGTCCACCTCCAGCATGGCGATGTCGCACTGGTACCCGAGGCACACCACACGGGCCACGAACCGCTTTGGGTTGCCGTGCCGCCGCACCCTACACGTCCAGCCCAGCAGAAGAAGTAATCAAGAAGCAATCTTTCGTTTTCGAGTAGCGGCGTCGATAGACGTACATGACGGTGATCGCATCTTCTACAACGTGGGCGTTGGTGAGGATGCGCCGAGGGTGGATGGTGAAGCCTGAGCCCGACGAGTTCTTGGAGGACTTGCGCTGCCACGGCATCGCGTAGGAGACCTTGGCACGCACGACGAACACCTTGACGACCGACCCCATGGCAACCGACCCCAGCCGCGTAGGGCTGGCCTTCCTCTTTTTGCTGTTGTTGCCACTACGGCTCCGCGACGTTGGTGCCGGCGAGGGCATGATGCCTTCGGCCTGCTCCTGGCGGTCCGCATCGTTCTCCTCCTTGAGGATGCCTTCAACTTCAGCATTTAGCGCCTGGCCCTCTTCTTCCATCTTGGCTGGACTTGAATATTTATTTATGTCCAATTCTGAAAAAAACAATCCAAAAACACCCCACGTGCACAGCTGGCACAATTAAAAAAATTCTAGAATTTCTCTAACTAAATAAACAGAATAACAAACAGCCAGCGGAAGAGGGCCCGAAAGGTCTTCTCTGTGTGCAGGAGGACTAGGCCGGCAAGGAATTCGCAGGTTTTGTCGATCGACAAGGATGGAATCGGGAGGTGAAGATTCGGCGTTGGCGCCGATCTTGCTCAAGGACCCTACGGCGACCTCGTCTACCCTCGTATGTCAGAACTTGGAGGGCCTCCTGTCACCCCTCGGCACCAGCGGACGCGTACACTACACATGCACGTCCCTCCCTCGATTTCATCTTCATTTTGTGCATTTTATTTTTACGCCTATTTCATTTGTTTTAACAAATATAAAATAATATGTTCGGTGCAGCTATTGGTTTTTTAATAATAATAATTATTATTATTACTCAATTAAATTGCAGGTATGGACGTGGGGGCAGAGCACATCGTGTTCGGTGCCAATACGGGCAGCCTCTACTTTTTCAACCGCGCGGCGCTCCGCTTCCTGCAGCTGGTGTCGTCGCCCGAGATCCGCGCCGCCGTGACCCACATCCGCTTCTCGCCCGACGAGCGCTTCGTGGCTCTGTCCACCCTCGACGGCGAGCTCATCGTGCTCGAACCCAAGCTGGGCACGCGGGCCAAGGAGCGCATCGTGCTCCGGCACCACCTCCACCGCGACTCTGCCGCCGCCTCATCAGCGACCACCGCACCACCGTCGGCCACTTCGTCATCGCCGCCGCCGCCGTCCACGCTCGCATCGGCCTCGGCCACCACTCCGGCCGCCCTGGGCGCTGCTGGCGCTGCGACGACGGCGGGCGGCGATGGCCACGGGGTGACGTGTCTCACGTGGGCGCCGCGCGGGCAGGAAGACGAGAACTATCTGTTCTCGAGCGACACGACGGGCGCGATCATGATCACGCCGGTCATCACGTCGCTCATCAAGCGGTCGCTGCTGCTGGCGTCGGCCGGCCCCGAGCCGCTGTACAAGGCCGACTCGCGCGTGGTGCAGCTCGACTGCACGAGCGTGGCGGCGTCGACGACGGCGGCGATGAAGCTGCAGCTGCTCATCTCCACGCTCACCAAGTCGATCCTGCTGACGATCGACACCAACGCCAAGCAGATCACGGGCCTCCAGGTGGGCAGCAAGCCGCGCAAGGGCAACTACGGCGCCTGCTTCTCCGCCTCGGCCTCGTCCGCGGAGACCTCAGCGTCGCGCTCGCCTACGGTGCTCTGTGCCGCCCGACCAGGTCGTCGCATCTGGTACGCCGCACGCACACGCACACACCACACATGCCACACGTTTCTGAATGTTTGAGTGGTTGATGCAGGTTGGCCGATGCGGTGACGGCCACGGTGCGTAAGACGCTCAACTTTTCCACGTCTCTCGAGCTGCTCCCCGCCTTCCCGACGAGCCCTGCCACCAACCTCACGCCTCGACCCAAGCTGGTCACCTTTGGTACGTTACACACATCACTCGATCTTCTCTTCAGGTTGCCTGCGGTGCCATAGCTGTGCAGTCTTTTCACACCACCATCACCCACCACCAATACGGTGCAGGGAAACTCACAACGTTCGGTGACGGCGACTACCTGCTCTCGTGGGACGATGAGCGCACTAAGGCTCAGCACGCGCTGTGTCTCATCGACGTTCAGAAAGGTTCAAAGTTGTATGTGGCGCGACTCGCATAACTCGCATAACTCACATTTCTCCACACGTGTGTGCTGCGGCTGGCCAGTTGAGATCCGCGCGTGGACGTGCTTCGCTGCTATTCGAGACCTCTGTGTGCTGCCGCAGGAGGACTGCGTCTACGTTCTGCACGAGGCGAACGAGCCCAAGGGACCCGTGCGCACCCTGCTGTCCAAGATCAGCATTCCCCTCTCGCACACCGCCGCCCCGACGACTGCCCCTTCTGCGGCGGCCGCTGTCGACAACTCAACCGCAGCGCAGGCCGCTGACGCCACTGTCACTCCGGCGGCCGCTGTCGACACTCAGCCCGAGCCCACTCCCGAGCCGGCCAAGGACCAAGCGGCCGCGCCAGTGGAAGTGGCCCCACCCGCGGCGGTGACCGAGACCGTTCCCGTGGCGGCCAGTGATGAGCCCGTAGCTGAGGCCGCCCAACAACTGGAGCCGACCAGCGCCGCCGTTGAAGCGGCGGCAGCGGTGCAGCCCACTTCGCCAGCTATTGACCAGAAGGCGGACGACGACCACACGCCATCAGAGCAGGCCGCCGTCGCCGCCGGCCAAGAAGGCAACGTGAGCCCCGCGGCCGAGACCCCGGAGCAGGTCACGCTAGCGGCTACATCGTCGTCGTCGCTCGAGCTTACGTCCGAGCCGGCGGCCGATGCGCAGCAGCCGACGATCGAGACAGCCGCTGTCCCGATCGAGCCACAAATCGTCGAGGAGAAAGTGTCGACACCTGTTGAAGATGCCGCGCCTGGCGTGCCGCCCGTCAGATCGGTGTCGGACATGACCGAAGCCGAAGGCTCCGCTGCGGCGGCGGCCGCCGAGTCGCCCGCAAATGATGTCAGCGACGGCGGTGATGTGGCAGCAGCAGTGGCCGTGCGCCGCGTGCGCACGACCGAGGACAACCTGGTCGTCCCGCGCCCGCGCAAGAAGGGCGGCAAGCGGCGCACCGCGCGGATCGAGGAGGCGGCCACCAAGTCGCCCTCCAAGAGTCCGGGCAGCGCCGCCGCGGCCCTGCCCCCGCTGGCCCAGGTGCGGCCCGCCGCGTCGACCCTCCGCGAGATTCTCTCCTCGTCGTCGTCGGGCGTCGCGCTCCCCGGCGCCACCAATGCGCCGACCATCACGGCGCCCTCGGCCCCGGTTCTCTCCCTCTCGGCCCCGGCCTCGCCCACGCTCTCTGCGTCGTCGACAGCGACCGCGCCACCGCCGCCGCTGCCGACGTCGCCCCTTCCCGTGCCCGCCACGTCATCATTACCGTCGACGGCGAGCGACGTCAAGCTGGCTTTTGTCACGCCCGAGTCGCTTGCTGACGTGGCATCGCCGCCGTCGCCGCTTTCCAGCTCGCCGTCCTCGGCCAGTGCACTAGAGACACCCGCCGCCGACCCGTCGCCGGTCGGTCGGGCACCCGAGCCAACGGTCGCTCCCACGGTGGCTTCGGCTGCCGACCAGCCAAGCTCGGCCCCCGCCGCTGACCAGTCCCCCGCCGCGGGAGGCGAGGCAGCCGCCGCCGCCGCCGGGACTTCAGACCAGGCCAGCGCGGCCGCGGGTTCGCCGACGACGGAGCGCAAGGAGGCTGGAGCCGCGGCCAACAGCCTCATGTCGACCAAGAAGTGGAAGGAGGAGATCCAAAACGTCGGACGGCGCGCCATGCAACTCAGTACACTTCCTTCCTTCTTTTGTGTCGTGTTGTGTGTCGTTGTGCGTGTGTCGTGTGCTGATGCGGAATCGAACAGGCAAGACGCCGGTCAATCTGGACGAGATATTCCAGAAGCCGGCGCTCAACTTCTTCAAGAAGTCGACAGGAGACAAGGAGGGTGAGTCGACACACGACGAAGCGCCGACGACGACGACGACCGCGGCTTCTTCGACCGCCGCAGCCGCCGCAACTGCGGCCGAGAAAGGAGAAAACCAAGAAAGAAAAGGAGGGAAAAGAGAAGAAAGAGAAGCAGAAGGAGGAGGAGAAGGCGAAGAAGGACAAGGCCGCCAAGGCCGAGACCGAGGGTAACAACAAGGAGGCCAAGAGCGCCGCGGGCCTCTTCAAGCGCGCCGCCAACACGCTCTTGGAGTCCACCAGCAAACCAGGTACCACCCACCTTTCTGCTAGTCTTTCCACCATGCGTGTGTCGTGCGTGTGTCGTGCGAAGGGGCCTATGAGGGCCGTAACACGTCGTACCAGGCACCATCTCCAGCTCCGATGTGGCGGGACTCTTCAAGAAGGCCAAATCGCTCGTTTCCAGTACGTCGCCGATCACGCTTTTTGACTGTGTGGTTTGTTTCGTTGGTGTTATTTATTGTTTTGTGTTATTTATTATTTGTTATCACTATCATTATCATTATTATTTGTTATTATTATTATTAAACCTACGCACACGCTTCGGTCAACAGTAACCAAGTTTGCGGCTGGGCATGACGCGAACGGCGCGGCGGCCGGACCCGCCCTCCCGCCCGGCGACGAGGCGGACGACCCGCAGAAGGCCTTCTGGCAGCTCAGCAAGTCCCTCTTCGAAGTCCTCGCCTCGTCGCTCCCCGCCTCCACCAAGTTCACCACCGGTACCCCTTCCGCTCCATTTCCGCGCGTGCTTGTGCGACGTGTGCGTGTGCGTGTGCGTGTGCGTGTGCGTGTGCGTGTGCGTGTGCGTGTGCTTTCTGATGTTTGGCACGCAAATGCAGAGACGCTCGAGAATATGAAGGAGTGGGTGGAGGAATGGAGCAGCCTCGCGGCGTCGCCCGAGGGCCTGCCGCCCACCTGGGTCACCGAGATCCTCACCGCCTGCTTCGAGCAGCACGTCCTCCCCTCCCTCGCCTCCTCCCTCCCCAACGAATTCGCTGTCGACAAAAGCGAAAACGAAAGCGAAGACGAAAGCGAAGACGAAGACGATGAGGAACGGGCGTGGAAGTTGCGCGAGCGGGATTTGATGGCGTTTCTCGATCGCTATTTCGCGCTGCTCGATCACGACCGGGTGCTGTTCTTCTGCAACGCCCACCGGCTGTCGCTCTGCATCTCGTTCTTCCTCCACACGGAGCAGATCCTGCTCCACCAGACCGCGGCCCTCACCCCGGCCACCGCCGCCACCGCCGCCGCTCAGTACCTCGTCCAGCTGTGGCAGGCCCTCGAGAACCTCCTCCAGCCCCAGCTCGGCGCACCCGACGTACGTAACATTCCTTCTGTGCGTGTGCCATGCGTGTGCGGTTGCAACTCACGCGTGTGTGCGGGTCGTGTGTCGTGTTTGTAGGCGGAGAGGGAGGGAGCGGCGGTGGAGGAGGCGCTGACGGTGCTGCGCAAGGCCGACAACAACCTGAGCCTCGTGCTCCGCTTCCTGCCGGCGCTCTTCGCCAAGTCGCCGCGCGTCACGGCCCAGTACGCGGCCTCACTTTACCCGTTCGTGCGGTCGTGGAACGTGCGCGACGCCCTCCCGCCCTCACCCGTCGTCACCTCGGCCTCGGCTTCGGCTGCCACGTCGTCGTCGTCGTCGTCAGCTGCGCTCCTCCCGCCATTCTCTGCGTCGACGTATATTCGAAAAGTTCACCAGTGCCACGTCAGCGCCGGCGGCTCTGGGGTGCGGCCCTTCGTGAGCGCGATCGACTACGACGAGCGGTGGGCGGTCTACGCGGACTACCTCGAGCGGCTGGTCGAGCGCCACGACGAGTGCCGTCGCGATCCACGAATCGTGCACGAATTGTTCGAGTGCGCGCTTCAGCAGGGCGTCGAAGTGGCATCTCAGGAATTCGGCCTGGCATACCGCGGCGCTGCTCTCGACAGCAATGATGACGTCAGCGGCGACGAGCCCGCGAGCCACCAGGTATGGCGGCATGGGCTGTTCTTCGACGACGAAGGCCGGCCGCGCGTTGGGCCGCGCGATCTGCGGTGGAAGCGGGACGGCGCCGTGCTGCGGCCCATCCTGCGCGACGGCGCCCAGCGCAAGTACGCCCACCGCCCGCGGCGGCTCCTGTACCTCGCCAAGCGGTACGGCCACTTCGAAGCGGTCAAGGAGTTGGCCCTACGCGTCGACGACGTGCCCACCGCCCTCGAGGTACATCTTCACACAACACAGCCCGCGCGACACATGCGGCTAACAGCTGACGTGCGTGTGCACGCAGGTGGGAGTGTTCACGGACGATTGGGACTGCGTGTCGCGATTGGCGCAGCGCCACGGCGACCCGTGGTTCTGGCAGCACCTGCTGGCCTTTGCCGCGGCGCTTTGGCGCCGGGAGGGCCGCCTCTCCTCGTCCGCGCAACAAGAAAGCGAAAACGAAAGCGAAAGCGAAGCGACAACAAAGACGAAGACGCCTGGTGCGAAGAGCGAAAGCGACGGCAAGGCCCAGAGGAAGAAGGGCATACTGCTCGAGGACGTGGTGGCGCACATGATCAAGGCGCTGGGCCCGATCCCGGCCTTCGAGATGATCGCCGCCTCGGGCTCGGACGACGTGGGCGAGCTCGCCACCGTCTTCCCGCCCGTCGCCTACCGCCACTTCGTCCACGCCGTCAACGTCGACATCCAACACAAGGAACTCGTCTATTGGATGGTCCGTACACACACGCACACGCACACGCACACGCACACACGCACGCACGCACAACACACGCTCGCTCACTCACGGCTTGTGCTGAACAGTTGAAGCGGGTGCTGGAGGACCTGTGGCTGGACAAGCACACGAAGCGACCGCCGACGATCGCCCCGCAGTTCCGGGCGGTGAAGGACGCCGAGGTGGCGGCCCAGCTCGACGCGTTGCCCTTCCTCCACCGCCTGGGCACCGCCGCCGCGCCCTCGGCCCTCGGCCCGCGCGAGAAGGCGACCGGGGCCGCGGCGGCCGCAGCTGCCCTGTCGACGCCCAACGAGAAGAAGTACAACATCGGGTTCGACTACACCACGCCGACGCCGCGCTTCTTCGAGGAGATGACCGGCCATTGGGGCCTCCGCCAACAGCTCGTCTCTGGTATGTTGTGCAACCTCCTGGAATGTTGAGCATTCCTTGGATTCTTGGGTGACATGTATGTGTTTTTCAGGTTCGTGCGAGTGCTGTACGCTGCCGCTGGCGGAGAGTGTGGGCCGGTCGTCGTCGCTGGTGGTGTTCGAGTGTGGTCACGCCTTCCACGAGTTCTGCGTGGCCGAGGACGCGTGCCCCGTCTGCCTCACCTCCCACATGCCCTCCCTCTCCTCCTTCCTCTCCTCCATCCCTTCTGCACCTCATCCACGTGATTCTAAACAAGCAGCTTTTTGATGATTTGTTTTTATTTTGTTTTTTTGTATTTTATTATTAATTCTGAATTCTGAACTACGTTCACGGCGGGACGTCTTCTTTAGTTGGACTTGTCGGCCTCGGGAACGGGCACCTTGCCCAGCCTGACGGCCTGGGTGGCGACGTGCTTGCCCTGGAAGCGGCCGGCGTTGAGCTCGTTCTCGCTCGGCTGCCTGGCGCCCCACACGCCCGCCACCACCGACGCGCCGTACGGCGAACCGCCTGACACCTCGTCCACCGGGAACTGACCTGTTTGTGTTGTGTGTCGTGTCGTCTTAGCACACGCGTGTGTGCGTGTGCGATGTGTGCGTGTGCGGCGTGTGTCGTGTTGTGTCGTACCGGCAAAAGTGTAGGGGAGACCGACGACGAGCATGCCGAGGTGGAGGAAGAGCGGGAGGAAGCCGCACACGATGGTGGTCTCCTGCCCGCCGTGCTGGGTGTTGCTGCTGGTGAAGGCCGACGCGAGCTTGCCCACGAGCGCGTTCGAGGCCCAGAGGCCGCCAAGCGAGTCGATGTAGGACTTGACCTGGCCGGCCACGTTACCGAACCTGGTCGGCGAGCCGAACACGATCGCGTCGGCCCACTTAAAGTCGTCGTGGGTCACCTCCGGCACGTCGGCCCACTGCTTCTGTTTTACGGAAATGAAACCACAAAACAAGACAACTCCGGCGTGAGTGCCCGCACACGTGACACACAACACAACACACCGCACACAACGACCACCCGCACACGCCACCGCACACACATGGTTGGGTACCTTGGCCTCGAGGGCGTGCATCTTGGTGAGAATTTCGTCGGAGAGGGTCTCGGGGAAGCGGGCGAGGCGCACGGTGACGCCCTCGACGGAGCTAGCACCTTCGGCCACGGCCTGCGCCAGCTTGTAGATGTGACCATAGGTCGAGTAGAAAACTGCGGCGTGTTGCGTGTTGTGTGCGGTCAGGTCGAATGTGTTGAGTGTATGCGTCGAGTTGTGTGCGGGGCGTACCAACAAGAACGTTGACGGAAGACATGTGGTTTAGGTTGTGTGCTAGTTGTGGTTGCGCTGGCTGCGAGGTGAAGAGAATGGTCTCAACACAGAGTGCGATCCCCTTTTCTAGTGGTCTCCGGCGTCATTGTTCTCCCGCGCCAAAGGTCCCGACCTTCCCGCCTTCGCGCAATCAATCGATTTCAATTGGCGGGAAACCTTGACCGGGATTGGCGGGAGGTCGGGAAGATCACCAAAAGAATTAATGCGGCATTCCAATCCAGCATTCCCCACATTCGATTACAGCCGCAAGCTTGAAATTTCGAGAGAACAAGATTCGGTTGTGGGATAAATCATGGTTTGCATTTCTGCGCCTTTTCGTTGGACTCACCAAGCAAGCACACAGCGAGAAGCAGGATGGCAGACTGAACAGACGGAACTCTACTCACTACGATCCCGCATCAATTCAAAAAACTGGAGCCTCACAAGACAAACCACTTCGCGCTCACGTCTTCACTGCGCCAGCCACTCCACCACTGTGACTCGCCCTACGAGCAAAGGCAGCAAGAACCACTCACAGGCTTAAAACAACAGAAGAATAGAACGACGAAGTGTAAAGCAAAGGTACACCCACTCACATCCTCTCCATAAATAATTATAGTTAGTCCCCCGTCTGGGCTCTCTGGCCGTTGGGACCTGGCCCCAGACAGGGCCAGGCGCTCTTCGTTGTTAGGCCTTACATGGCAACTGCGATTGTTTATTTTCAGACATTATCCTTTTTTAGACAGTTATCGATTTTTGACTGATTATACAAAAATCGATATATGCTGGCGTATATACTTGTCGCACCGTTACTCACACTCACACTTGACACTCAACAATGTCAACACATAATTAGACCACAGTGTACATTCTGAACAAACATAAAACCACAATGGCGAATCACAACATCCACAAGAGCTTCATGCACTTCTGCCGTGCAACGGAGGCCTCGCTGTCGCTGCCCCCCGAGCTGCTGCTGAACATCTTCGCCCACCTGCCACACGAGTCTGTCGGACCGCTCCTCCTCGTGTGTCGGGATTGGAACGCACTCGTCTCCTGCCCAGGTACTCCTACCGCACGACACGCACGGCACACACGGCACGCACGACACGCACGGCGTGCATTTGGCTGATAGGCGTGTTGTGTTGTGTTGTGCGCGGCAGGGTCGTGGACGGTCTGGCGGGAGTGGGTCCGGCAAGCGGCGCCCGAGGTCTACGAGGCGGCGCTGGTAAGGGAGCAATCGGCGCGCAAGGCGAGTCCGTGCTGGCGCGCACTCTACGTCGCCCGCGAGAGCTCGCGGTTCCTTCGCCGGCAGCGGCAGCAGCGGCAGAAGCAAGAAGATGCTGCGCGCGTCGAGAAGGAGAAGCAGCTGCGTGAGCAGGAGCAGCTGATGATGGCTCAGATCGGTACGACTACGACCGATACCCACACGCGCAGCAGTCATGCGATCGATCAGATTGGTGGTTGCTCATAGCCGACTTCTTGAACTCTCTTTGCTGAAGCCTACACGAGCATGGCGCTGAGCAGCGAGAAGAAGGCGTGGAAGCAGATGCTCACGGTGGTCTCCATCTCGTCGCTCACCACGTTCGCCTTGTTCGCCTCCATGTCCCTCGCCTACTAGCCATAGGCGGGTACTATGTACAGCATGAGAGGAGCCACAGGTAAACCACCCGTGTTCCGACCGCCCTTTTGTTTGTAAAACAAGTTGTCTTGTAGAATAAACCGCTGATGACAAAGAAGAAAGCTCGTGGGATTGATTGCATGTCTGCGGTCACTCCCGCTTGATCCCTCGACCGCTGCTCCACGCGGCGATCGATGCAGTGATGATCGAGGCCGCAATCGTACCTGTGACGGTGCTGTGATGAGCCCATGAACGCTCTGCCGTGAACTCAAGATGGTACTACTTACCTAGCGGCAACATGTAGTATTCGTGGATCAGGCGGCCGGGGAGCCACATTCTAAAGATGCCTCGCGCCGTGTAGATGTCCTCCTGTCTCACGATCACCTTCCTATGTGTGGGTCATCAAGAATGTCAAGAATGCTCAGGTGTGAAGAATGGAGAATGGAATGTGTGGCATGCGGATGACGAGGTACCTTCCGTCGTCGGTGTCGCGCAGGGTGAACTTGACCCACATCTGGAAGTCGGCCTGGGCCACGGGCAGGAGTGGGAACACCAGGTGCTGGGTGAGGTCCACCATCACCAGGCCCTGGGCCTCGTCGTACACCACGTCGTGGATGGTGCAGGAGATCCGGCGATTGTAGGCCGACCAGCCCTCGAACAGGCTCACCAGGGCTTCGCGCCCGCGCAGTTCGAACAGCGGGTGGCGCAGGAGCATGTCCTCCCGGCAGTACCGCCCCAGCACCGCCCCGTGCTGGCTCGTGTCCTTGCGCAGGATCGTCGTCACCAGCTCGCTCACGCACTCCACCACTCGATGCTTCTCCATTGCTATGTCCGTGTATTAGAATTTAAATAGATAGTAGGGGTGGTCAGAGAGTGGTGGTGTCGGCTGAATGACGTGATGTCGACCGCTTTTCGACGAATAAGGAGGTTTGTCATTTAAGGTGGAGGCTGACGTCAGCTCACCTTTCTGTGCGGCGGAATTGAGAAAAAAAGGAAAAAAACATACACTACGACGAACTCACACTCATACCCCACAACTCAACTCACGGCCGCAGAGAATGGAGGCACCCACTCCTACGAATGCCAGCGCGGCGGCCGCCAGCGGCTTTGCGGGCTACCACAAAATCCAGGATAGGTGCGGCGGCCCATGGCTTTTGTGAGGTGGTGGGTATTGTTGGGGGGGGGGAGTGACCGACCTCTGACGACATGCACTCGAGTGCGCTGCAGCACACGAAACTGGGTCCTCCCGCGCGGCGGCAAGTCCTTCGGCAAAGCCTGGGCCGCCACCGAAAAAGTACGCTGTGCGTGTCGTGCTGTGGCGTGTGCGTGTGCGTGTGACGTGTGCGTGTGCGGTGTGACTGACACACACATCAGGTGCACGGGGCCAACTTCTGCTTCATCGTGAGCCGACGTGCGGACGGGCAGGTCGAGGTGCGGTGCGGCAAGCGGCGCGAGGTGCTGCGCGACGGGGAGGACTTCTTCGGCCACGCCGTGCTCCTCGACCGCCTGCGGCCGCAGGTCCTCCGCCTCTTCGCCCACCTCGAGCAGCACCAGACCACCCTCCTCGCCGACCACGTCTCCGGCCTCCGTACATTTTATTCTCTTTCCATTTATTTATTTTATAATATTTATATGTTGATTTTAATATTTATTTAACAATATTAATAATAATGCAGACAAGGCGTCGAGTAAGAAGACGAGCGAGGCGACGACGGCGCCGGCGGCGATTGAGCGGGTGCTGCTGTTCGGGGAGCTGTGCGGGGGGCGCTACCCGCACCCCGAGGTGCCGCCGGACGCGCGGGTGGAGGCGGTCCAGACGGGCGTGTACTACTCGCCCACAATCGAGTTCTACGCCTTCGACATTGCCCTCGAACTGGCCGGCGGGCGCCTCAACGAGGCCACCGACGACTCCCTCTTCTTCCTCGACTACGACAAAGTGCGTGCGCGGTTGGGCGTGTGCGGTGAGCGTGTGCGGTGGGCGTGTGCGGTGCGGCGGCCGTGTGCGGTTCTCATGCATAACGTGGGTCCGCCAGGCGCTGGAGATCTTCCGGAGCGTGGAGCTGTTGTGTGCGGAGCCGCTGGCCGTGGGCACCTACGAGGAGATGCTCGAGCACCCGGTCGAGTTCGAGTCCACGATCCCCGCGCGGTTGGGCCTTCCGCCGCTGCCCACGCCCAACCGAGCTGAGGGAGTACGCACTCCTTGCGTGTGTCGTGTGGTGTAGTGTGTGTCGTGCGTGTGCCTGGTGTGCGTGTCACGGGCTAACGAGTGTGCCGCACACACAGATTGTGTTGAAACCAATGAAGACGCTCTATGTGGCGACCAGCAAAGGTTCATCGACGCGGGCGATCGTCAAGAAGAAGACCAAACAGTTTTCAGAAGAGAATCAGTACGTACCACCCAGGATAGAGCTTACAGCGCACTCACTGACACGACACGACACTCACGACACGCGACACGACACGACACGACACGACCAACGACACGCACGGATGCAGGTACCACCAGGCGGAGAAGTGGCAGGCCAAGCCAGCGGACGGGTCGGGCTACGGCCCCTCGGAGGCGGAGATGATCGAGTTCGAGATGTACGCCCTCATCACCCGCAACCGGCTCAACAACGTCATCTCCAAAATGGGTACGAGCCTTGGCCTTCTCAATCAATTCGGCGTGTGCGCACACGTGTGCGGTGGTGCGTGTGCGGTGCCACTTACACCGATCGTGCAAAAGGCCGGGTGGAGGCCAACGAAAAGGAGAAGGTGGTGGAGCTGCTGCGCAAGTTCATGGAGGACGTGATGGAGCAGCTGCGGGAGGACAACGCCGACGCCATTCGGGCGCTGCCAACCGCCGCCAAGACCGACCTCAACGCCAAGCTGCGCGCCGAGTGCAAGCAGATCATCGTCCAGCACTTCAAGGACCTCGCCGCCGAGCGTAAAGCAGTGTAGTGTACTACGTTAATAATATATTACATTTATAATTGATATAAATATTAAAATCAATTACGTAGTCATTTATTTTAACTGTGTGAAGTATTATTATTTGTGCAAAATAAAACAAATCCAACTACTACTCGCCGAGTAGAGCGCCACTACTGGTGCTGGGCGGGGTAGGGGTAGGCGTTGGAGGAGTAGCCGGAGGACATCTGCACCACGCCGCCGTAGGGGGCGTAGCCTCCGTTGTAGCCGCTCTGCGGTGGTGGCTGCGCCCAGTACTGCTGGGGCTGCTGCTGCTGCTGCTGGTACTGCTGCGGGAGCTGCTGCTGGCCAGAGGCGCTGAGCGAAGGGTAGATGGGCGTGTAGCCGCTCTGGGTGGCCTGCGCCGCGCCCCACGCCTGCTGCTGCTGCTGCGGCCAGGCACCGCCCGCCGGGGCGCTGGGCGCATACGCGGCCTGCGTGGGCCGCTGGTCTGGAATCGGCTGGCTGTAAAACTGCGTCACCTGTTGTTCACAGCACGACACACGACACACGACACACGACACACGACACACGACACACGACACACGACACACGACACACGACACACGACACACGAAGGCATAAGTCAAAAAGTGTAAAGAAGGACCGTTTTCTTGATGAAGAAGAAGAAGGTGGACCTTGCCACGGATGGCGCTCTGGATGGCGTCGACCCAGGAGTCGAATTCAAGCTGGTTGTCCGCTTCCACGTAGTAGCGTCGCGACGGCGTGTCGATGGCAAACACGTACCTGCGCATGCAACCGCACACACAACACACGACCGCACGCGCACATGATCAGGTGAGGACCACGAGAAAGGAGAAAGAAGGAGAAGAAGACGCCACGTACTTGGGCTGGACGCTGCTGGGAAAGGTCCCGTTGTTGAGTGCCACGCTGGCGCCCTTGAGCTGGATCACGCCCTGCGGCTCCTCCGACTTTTAAAACAAAAAAAAGTAATGATGGAGATGAGAAAACGTAAACGCAGAATGCAGGGTGATGAAGTTTCTACAGAGCTTCCTTGATCAGGAGGAAAGAGAAAGAGGAATGGGTGAACGTACGGCTGGGCTGACAAAATAGTAGAGGGCCATCCCGCTGAGGATCCAGAATCGTCGTTTCCAGTTCTTGATGATGCCGCCCTGCTTCACCAGGTAGCCCTCCCTGATCGCATTTTGTCGGAGGAAGGCAGGTCCATTTGTCCGAATTGCGGCTGCTTGCTGCCCTCGCGCCGCGTAGCCAGGGTAGGTGCTCGTGGTGGTATAGACGGGGCGGGATGAACACGATGATGAGGTCGTGGTGTAGCTGCAGGGGGCAGGCGTGCAGGTAGATCTACTATTGTGGCAGGACATGATAATATAATATTGTGCTGTGTTCTCTGCAGGCGTGGAGTAAAGATGATGAGAGGCGGAGTAGTTGTTGATGTTGATGTTGGGGCGATGGTTGCACAAAAAGAAAAGGAGTATTAATTCAAGAAAATAAGAAAAAACCTATATTTCTTCATTCCCGGTGGCTCAATGATCCGGAGGTCGCTCCGGGCTACAACGTGATCTGATACCTCCTTCCGCTCAACGATCGAGAACGCTATTTACAATATACGTTGTGTGTGTGTGTGTGTGTGTGTGTGTGTGTGTGTGTGTGTGTGTGTGTGTGTGTGTGTGCAAGAGAATGTGATAATCAGCACATGTTTCTTAACACCGCAGGAAAGCAGCTGATTGATTGATGTACCTGGTCTTCATCCTGGTGAGCATGTCGACCTGCGCCAACACTCGCGTGCCGTCCGCGTCCTGTTGTGTCACGAGACGGCCGAGCGCAGGGTTGGTGTTAGGGTTGTTGCGGTCTCACCGGAGTGGAAGTGGAAGTGGAAGGCGATTGGGGGCGTACGTCGGCAGCGGCGGCCTCGACGTTGAGATAGGGCTTCTTCTTGAGGTAGGCGTAGACGCTGAGCGAGCCGTCGTCGGTCGGGGCGTGCTGGCTCTGCTGCAGCACCACGTTCAGCCCCTCGGCCTGCCCCACCGCGCGCCCAGAAGTCCATTGAGTCGATCGAGCCGATCACCGTTGGCCTTGTGGCACTGTTCGTTGATGGCGAGGAATGCAGAGGAATGCAGTTGCACCTTGAGCTTCTCGAAGAAGGCGTTCTCGGTGACGAAGAAGAAATCGCGGGCGAAGGCTCCCGGAGCGATGAACACCTTTTCGGCTTCGTTGGCAAAGGGACCGCCGGGCAGGTACAGCGACGCGTTGTAGTTCGGCCCATTGTTGTGCAGCGTGACCACAGTCTGACGCGTTGCGAGTGTTGGTTGGCGTGTGGCGTGTGGCGTGTGGCGTGTGGCGTGTGGCGTGTGGCGTGTGGCGTGTGGCGTGTGGCGTGTGGCGTGTGGCGTGTGGCGTGTGGCGTGTCGTACCGGCAAGCGATTGAAGTCATAGATCTCGAGCAGGCGCTGGGAGAAGGCGAGGACGTGCTTGGCCGCGACCGGCGAATAGGGTCCGTACTCCTTGAGCGTGGCTTCCACTCCGACCGGCGTGAACATGCGGTTGGGATCGAACGTGTAGACCGTGCCCTCCAGCTTGAACGACACCAACCTCTCACCCCCATGCTCTAATAGCGTAATCGACCTGTGACGTGTGCGGTGGTGCGTGTGCGGCGGTGTCGTGCGTGTTGTGCGTGTTGTGAGTGTCGTGCGTGTCGTGCCGAGGTGAATCACGCGGCTGGGAAAATATATAAAAATGAAATAAAAATAAAAGAACGAAGACGAAGAGGAAAGAGCGAAGGAAGAACGAAGCGGAGGGGCAGTACCCGCCGTAGTAGTAGAGGAGGACCTTGGCGGCCACGACCGACGTGTTCTCGTTCTGGTGGACGTTCAGGAAGTGCAGGGCGGCGCGGGCGGCACCAGACGAAGTGGGCACCGGCGCAGCAAACACGCTGATGTTCACCGCAGTCTCGCCCAACTGCTCACCCCCAACGAAGTATTTCACTTGATTAACAATAATACAATAAATCAATAAAGGATGGCTAACGTACGAGGAAAGGGTAGACGCTCTTTGTCGGGAGCTGAAACGACAACGCCGATGCGACGAAGCAGCATCCAACCACCGCCACTAACACCCACGCGTGCCAACTACCCATCTTACAATAATTATAATAATGTGATACTAAAAATGAAAACGCAATAAATAGAAAAAAACATAACAATTTGTTCTGACATTTACAAGACCGCGGCGAGGCTGGGCAGGCGCGAGAGGCCGCGGAGGAGCTGCTTGGACTTGTCCTTGACGGTCTCCTCCTCTTCGGCCCGGGCCTCCTCCCGGTCCTGCTGGGTGATGGCCTCGTCCTTGCGCTTGAGCCGGTCGACCTCGACCCCCTCGCCGATGATCTCCAGCTGCAGCCGGAACCACTCCTTGACTCGGTCGAGAAACTTGGCCACCTCCGGGTGGGCCACGATCTCGAAGAAGAACTGGAAGTCGTGGTTCATCTGCTCCCCCACCACCAGCTCCATCTCTAATCGATCATGTGGGTATGTGTTGTGTGAGGAATGCTTGGAATGTTGATAGCACACATCGCACACGCACACACGCACGCGTACCGAGCCCCTGGTCGCGGCCCTTCTGGACGAGCCGCTGGATGTCGTCCCACAGGGGCTCCTGGTCTCCGCCGGTGACGAGCAGCGGCGGCAGCCCGAGCAGGTCGCCGTAGATGGGCGACACGTAGGGCGAGTAGATCGACGCCCGGTTCACCGCCCAATCCAGCTCGTCCTCCTCCGCCTCCCGCTGGGCCTGGGCCTCGCTGTCGTCCCCTGCCACGTCAGCAGCCCCTCGACCGCTTCGGCCGCGGCCGTGGCCGATGTGGTGTCGTACGCGGTGGCGGCGGGTGGTGCCCTCCTTGACGTTGACCATGTCGACGCTCATCTGTCGCTGGCGCGCGCGGTGCTGGCGGAGCTCTTCGCGGGTCTTGACGACCTGGCGCATCCGCAGCTCGTCGTGGAGCAGGGTGCGCAGGTACTCGGTCTGCGCACGGATGGCGACCGAACGGATGCGCGCTTGGTCCTTCTCGCGCTTGGTCCGCGCGGCCTTGACCTGCGCCCGCAGGCCCCACTTGAACCGGCGCTCCAGCTCCCGGTTCTTGCGCACCGTGAACGGGTAGTCCGTCGGCTGCAGCCCCAGATAGGCGTGCACGAACCTCAAACCCTGCGTGGAGCGTTCTACATCAGCGAGTGCCGTGCGTGCGGTGTGTGCGGCGTGCGGCGTGTGCGGCGTGTGGTACGATGTGATAGGGGCGGAAGACGGCGGGCTTGGGGTAGTTGCTGAAGCGGAAGGCCGAGCTGTGCTCGCTGAGGTCGACCCAGGGCGACAGCAGCATGGCGCAGAGCGGAAAGGGCGGGAACAGCTCGCGCTCGTGCTCGTCGAGCTCGAATGGCAGGCAATGACCGCCGCATGAACCGCCGGTCGCGCGCCAGCTTGCGGCGCCACTCGGCCCGCACCTCGTCGTTCAGCCGGCGCCGGTACTCGCGCCGCCGCCTGATCTCGGACTCGTCGCCCTCGGCCCCGCGCGTAGTGGTCGGCGCCGCCTCGGCCTGGTCGTAGTGCGGCATCTCGTGACCGAAGAGGTCCTGAATGCCGCGTCCGAGGCGGTCCTCCTCGCGCAGCATCCACATCTCCATGGTCCCGCGCCGGCGGCGGTTGTGCTGCGCCGCAGCGGCCGGGCCTGGCGCGTGCGGGTTGCAGATGTCCGGGTCGTTCTGGGCGTGGACACAGTCGTAGTCGTCATCATCAGCCCGGTCGCCTTCATCACACATCGTCCGGCGTTCATCGCGCATTTGTTTGTTGAGGCGCGCCTGGCGGATCAGAAACAGGAGGCTGAGCGACAGGTTGCCCCCTGCGCTGTCTCCGGCGATGATCAGTCGCTCGGGCGGAATGTTGCCTCCCTGTTGTGAAACCAGGTGGTCAGGAACCACACACACACGCACACACAACCACACGCGACACACACGACACACTCGAAGCGCACGACGGAAACCTTTTCGTCGATGAGCCAGAGGTACGTCTTCCAACACTGGCGCAGGGCGGTGGGGAACTGGTTCTCGGGGGAGAGGCCGTAGTCCATCAGGAAGAACTGGATCCCGCCCAGCAGCTTGCTCATCTTCACCGCCCACTGCCTGTACGTCGTGACTTCCCCTGGGATAGACCAATTACAATTTTGTATGAGTGTGGTTGCGTGTCACGTTCTGGCATGTAACATGCGGGAATTCTTGGAATTCCATAGGAGTTTTGGTGATGGGAGTGGCAGTACCCATGCAGAAGCCGCCGCCGTGGATGAAGAAGATGGTGGTGTTGTTCTCCACCTTGTCCCGCTCGAAATCGGCCTCAAGCCGGACCCCGCGCCGGCCGTGCCTGCGCTCGGCCTGCATGCTGGGCGAGTAGCACACAAACTCGCCCTTCACGAACTCGTTGACCCGCACGGGCGGTACACCCCATCCCCTGGCGGCTTCCTACGCGGATACAAATGTCTACAGCATCGCACCAGCCACTGGTCAGAACTTTCATGTGCTGCACACGAAAGTGCGGTGCGTGTGCGTGTGCGTGTGCGTGTGCGTTGGTGTGCGGTCGTGTGAGAAGTGACTGATGTGGATTGACGTGGTACCTGAGGTCGTCCCAGCGGAGAAGATAGTGGTGGTCCACCACCTTGATCACCGCCCGATAGCCCAGCTCTGATGTAAAAGAGAATGAAAATGAAGATGCCTCACATTCTCAGTTGAAATGGAAATGTGTGCATAAATTGTAGAACCTTCGTACCGGTGACCCAGTTGAAGGAGGGGTAGATGGGACCTCTCGCGATTCTGCGGGGCATGACGAACAGGGCCTGCACAGCAGCGGTGAGGAGGACCGCGTCCTTCCGGACCCGCACCCGGCCCTTCCTCCCCTTTTTCCTCTTCCTGTGGTCACTCTGGTCGCTGCGGTGATTGGCCATCACCTCCGCCATCTCATTGCCCGTCAGCATCATCCCCGTGGCCTTGACCGCGACCTCCCCAGGACCCTGCAGGGAGCTGCTGGTGCCAGCCGTCTCCTTCATCTCCTCCATCTCCTCCGTCTCCTTCAACTCCTCCTTCTCCTTCTTGTTCTTCTTCTTCTCGTCATCATGCTTGGGTCCGAGCACCTCGATGTGCCGCTCGGCCATGGGGAGCGGAGCCCAATAGGCAGCTGATGCTTCGGAGGGGGAAGGGTGGTGGCGCACTTCCTCGTCCGGGGCCAGCGTTGCACTCGAGTCCATGTCCGGCGTGTGTCGTGTGAACTCAATATAGGATCAGTGTGTGCCGTACTACTTACGTGTAGTGTGGGTCGTGTGTCGTGTGGTCGGTGACCGCGGGGTGGTGAGCATGCAGGGTGCGATAAGCCTGAACCTGATTTGGTCGAAATTCAGGCCCGAACCAAGGGAAATTAGTGGTGAAATCCGCAAGCTCGGCTTGTTTCTCTGCAACCTCGAGTTTTGGTCCGTCCACTGCGGACCTCAACCAAAGAGGGAGGGTACCCTGTACCGCATTGAGCGACCCAACCGCGACTAGTAGGCTAGGATTTTAAACATTTATTTCTTCACGAATCTTCAAGAATTGGCCAGCTGGCCATGGGCACTCAGAGCGATGTCACTCGATGACGCTCAGCCTCCACCCGCTCTGGCCAGCTAATGGCGCGACGTAGCCCACTGTCACAGTGATAGTGGACAGGTCGGTTGCTCCATTTCTGGGTATTTTCTTTTTGGCCAAAAAGAAAAGCCCCAGAAATGTTCCACGTTTCTGGTATTTGTTGTAGTGATGGAAGCGGAGGGCAACTTCTTTGGGGGAGGCCTGGCAGAGCTGCCGGTGGAGGTGGTGCTCGAGGTGCTGGCATGGCTACGGGTTGCTGACCTGGTGCGGGCCGAAGCCGTATGCCGGCGCTGGCGCGCTTTCCTGAGCGCCGCATCGCCCCTCGGTTCCACCCTCTGGCGGACCGTACCCCCCCCACAACTTTCTTCTGCCCTCCACCTACTTACGCTTATTTTTATGACTTAAATGATATCATATCATCTCATAATTATTTAATATTGTTGAATTAATTTTTGTTTTAACTTCACTTTTAAGGCCCACATGGCAGAGTTCGGCGGGCCGAAGCCGCTCCCGGTAAGGGAGGAATCCGGCGGCAGCAGCAAGCAAACGCGCAAGCTCAGACTGCACCAGGACAAGCGCGGCGATTGGCGTCTCTTCTGCCGCACCTCTCTGCGCACCCTTTACCGGTACACACCCACGCACCGCACACACGACCAACGACACGACACGACACGACACGACCAGCGACTGAAGACGATTGCAGGCTTGGCGGTGGTCGGCCGTTGGACCAACCCGCTACCAACGACGGCGACGATGCCTACCGCCACTACCGCATGTACCATCACACATTGGCGGAGGTGGACTCGGTCAAGGCCCTGATCCGGTGGACCTTCTCGTGCGGCCACCACGCGGCCTTGCGCGCCTCCTCCGCCCGACGACGCGGCCCGCCATCCAGCGCCTCGCCCGCAACCTCGTACACGGCTGGCCCCTCGACGACCAGGCCAGCGGGCCATTGGCCCACGGCGTTGAGCCGCTGGCGTGGGCGCTGAAGAGCCGCAGCGTCGAGCTGCTCGCGCTGGTGATGGACATGCAGGTGATGCCAACGAGCCCGAGCCGGCTGGTCGACCTGCTGGCGATCATCACCGCCCGCCACCAGGACGCGGCGGCGATCACCGCGCTCGTGCTCTCTCGACTCCCTGTCGCCCCGTCGGTCATCTTTCACGTCGCATGTGCGTGGCTATGCGTGCGTGTGCGGTTTTGCGTGTGCGTGTGCGATAGTGAGTGTGCGACACGTGCCCAACTTGACGATGATGGTGTTGGGGGGCGTATACGACAGGCGAGAGGGAGGAGGTGGAGGTGGCCCGGGTGTTGCTGGCGCATTGCAAGAGCCCCGAGTCCAGAGCCGCGCTGCTGACGTCAACCGTTGCCAGCGAACACTGCGGTGCGTCGAACTTTCAGCACCACTGCTGCCGTCGATGCTTATTACGTGTGTGTGTGTGTGTGTGTGTGTGTGTGTGTGTGTGTGTGTGTGTGTGTGTGGTCTACAGCACTGGCCCTGGCTTGTGGGAACAATCGCACGAAGATGATCGAGTTTCTGCTGCGAGAGGAGAGCTTGCCGAAGGGACCGTGGCTCACCCAGGCCCTGAATCGGGCGCTGCCCCGGTGTTCGGTCGCCATACTCCTAGCACTGCTCGAACGAGGCGCGCGCGCCGACGAACCTCCGGGCCAGTCACTTGGCGGGTATTATCCCATTCATCTCGCTTGCCAGGTACCTCCCTTCAACATGACACGCACCGCACGACACGACACGCACCGCATAACACTCACGACACAGAACTCACGGTGACATATACAGAGAGCCGATGGAGCGGAGGTGGTGGAGCTCTTGGTGAAGCACGGGGCCAATGTGAACTGCCCCCGGCCGAAGGGTCAAAAGTCTACGCCGCTACACCTGGCCTGTGCCGCCGCCGTGCCCTCCGCAGCGCTGGTCCAGCTGCTCCTCGACCACGGCGCTCTGCCCAACCCAACCGACGTGCGTCACACACACGACACACTCGACACACTCGACACACACGACACACGCTCACGTGCGCACGACACACAACGACACTGGCTTAAATCGAGGGCAGGCCAAGGGTCGGACGCCGATGTTTTGCCTGCTACAGACGCCGGCCAAGTCGGCTCAGGCCAGCGCGCAGAAGGTGGCGGCGGCTCGGGTCCTTGCCGAGCGTGGCGGTACGCTCGGGTCGCGAGACACCAATCTCGAGTTGCTGCGTGTCCTCCTGAACTGGGTGCACGACAAGCGATATCCGGGCACCCAGTGCAAGTGGGCCGAGCGCGACCAGTGGCTTGTGGCCCTCGCCAAGTGCTTGCTTGAGCTGGGCTGTCTCTCCATTCCGGTACCGCCACATCTTGATCATCTATGACCAATTATTATGTGTCAAGTTCAAGAAATAATAATAACTTGTTTTTCTTCTTCTCGGTGCGTTCAGACGAAACCGTCGGTGGCGCTGACGAACGCAGTCTTCTTCTCCACCCCGCACATAATCACCTATCTCGCCGAGCACGGCTTTCCGGTGCATGAGCACGCCACCGCCTCCCAATTCAAGTATGACCCCACGACACGCGCACCACCGCACACGCACCACCGCACGACACGTTCACCAGACACAATATACTATAGGCACTAACTAATCTATTGTGTGGCTGCAGCAATCCGCTGTTCAGCTTGGTGCGCCACGCGGCAGGTAGGAAGAACTGGCAGCAGTGGCAGGCCAACCTGCGTGCGCTGCTGTTGGCCGGGCTCGACCCACGACGCGCCCTGCGCTTCGTCGAGGCGGGCGATCTGCGCACGCTCGATCTCCTGCTGGCCCACGGCGCCGACATCAACGTCCTCCACCCCTCTTACGGGGGGGCCTTGGACCTCTTCCCGAGGCCCTTTGCCGCGCTGGAGCCGTGGCTGCGGGCGCTGCACCGGCGCGGCCTGCGGCTCGATGGCGTTGGCTTTGGTGGCGGCATGGCCCAGCCGTTCTGGTGGCCGTCGCCGCTTACTCAGGAACAGAAGGCGCACATCGGGAAGGTGCTGGCCGAGCTCAACGAGACCCAAGAATGAACATTTATTTTGTCTTTCCCTTTTCGATGGAAATTTTTCGTACACAGCCTCACATCAAACAAGTGCAGCTAACAAACTCCTTGTTATATTGTGTTCTCTTGCGAGAAAAGATCAAAAAACTATGTACATGGTGGTGGTTGGAAGGTGTCGGCCAGAGAGCTAGTGGGAGAGATCGCTCCACTCCGAAGATTCATCTTCGTCGGAGCAGATGAGCGGGTTGAGCATCGGGAAGGTGGCCACCAGGGCGTTCAGCTGGGCCGTGGCCCGATAGCGCTTTATGTGCGGGTCGGCCTGGTCGGCGAACCAACGCCGCTGGCCCCGTTGGCCGGCACGTCGCAGTGATCGTGTGGAAGACGATGTTGAAGAGGCGGGCGATTGCTGTTCGACCACCATGGCCTCCCATCTGGCCAAGCCCCGGCCACTTGTGCTGTCGGCAGCTCCGACGCGCTTCTGTTTGGTGAGTGTGCCGAACTTCATGAAGGCGCTTGAGGTGGTGTGCTTGGTGTTGGTCGTAAGATAGAGATAAAGAGATATGTCGTCGGTCTATGTTGTGCTTTTTTCTCTGTAGGGCCGGAAGTCAGCTCCCAACCAGATATCGCCCAGGGAAGAGGCAAAAGGGGAGAAATGGAGCAGGTTAGAGGAGTGTTCGGGCATTAAGGAAACTACTCCCATTGGTCGGACCGGCGAACACAACACTCGTTCCTTCCTCGAAGCCGACTTGCCGCGCAGTATTCGGCACTTCTCGCCGAGGAAGCTAAAGACACCAATGAATCCTTGGAACTTTCCTTCTCCCGGGTGAGCTCTCCCCTCCGCCAGAAGACTCAGCTGACTTTCGTCCCTCCCGGCGTCCCTCCTTCCTTTTGGGTTTTTGTCGCCCGACCGGTGCTTGCGAGAAAAGGTATTTTTTTCTTTTAATTTCTTCTTTTATAAAGCGAGAAAACAAAATCGCAATTCGATTTGCAAGATGGAGGAACGATCAGTCCCTGGTGCGTCCTGTTCTGATCATTTTGTTTGTGATCTCTAATCTTTCGTCCAATCTCTCGCCCACGTCATAATCCATAATCTGGGGCTTTACTTCGGCGCCCCGGGGGTAGAATGGGTGTACCGTCTCCGGCGGGACTACCGGGCCATGCTGCCCGCGGCATCGCTCGTCGCGCGCGTCCGCAACGAAGCCGATGCCGGCGGCGGCGGTGGTTGCGTCATCAGCCCTGAACGCCAGGAACTGATCTACAACGAGGTGTGTGCGCATGAAACACTACACGCACACGACACAACACAACACGACACACGGCACGAGGGCTCGGGGCTTAAGTGGGTGGCTGTGGTGATGGTGGCGGTGGTTAGGTGGTGCGCGATGCCGTGTGCGTCCGGTTCCCGCCGTCCTTCGCCTTTCGCAAGCGCTTCCTGAAGGCCCTGCTCGATGTCATCCAAGAGCAGGACGAGGTCAGCCACTTCTCGTTTTATCATTTATTTGTATTTTCTTTAAATTAATTTATTTATTGAATTAATGAATTTATTTATTTATTTATTTATGAATGTATCGAGTGCAGGAGGTGTTCGAGCCACTGCTGGAGACCTACATGGAGCTGCTGCAGGCCCGCGAAGAACGGTTTGACGCCCCGACTGGACTTGCGCTACTGTGCTTGCCTGAGCGTGTGCGACTGTGCGACCGTGTGCGACTGTGTGCGTGTGTGGTGTGATGCAGGGAGGCGTGTTACAAGACGTACTCGTTCATGGTGGGCGACGAGGAGAAGACCATCACCATCAAGATCGCGCAGGAGTTCCACGTCGTGGGCCTCGCCGAATGGGAGGCCGGGTTCTACCTCGCCGAATTCATCCTCACACATCCAGGCACTCACACTGCTCCTCTCTGCCCAGACCATGCCGTCTGCAGACTTGTGTCGCGTGTCGTGTCGTTGGTCGTGTCGTGTGCCACGTGTGTGTGTGTCGTGCGTGTCATCGGCTGACCAAGTGTACATGTGTACAGAAATGTTCAGAGACAAGGTGTGCCTCGAGCTGGGCTCCGGCATTGGCCTCACAGGTACTTCTCCCTTTTTACTATTCTTTTCTCTTTATAAATATTATATAATTTCTTATTTATAAAAATAAACATAAATAGTAAAAGAGAGTTAATTAGTTCTTTTTCTCAATGACGCGCTAGGACTGGTGCTGGGCGCGGTGGGACCGAAGCAAGTGGTGTTTACCGACTACCTCGAAGACCCGGTGCTCGCCAACCTGCGGCTCAACGTCCAAAACAGTTACCAATCGCCTTCTCCCACCTCTTGAGCTTCACTTTAAGTGTTTAACGACCAACAACAATGACAACCACCCAACCAATAGGCGGCTTTGCGGTGAGTCCGCTGCGGCAGGATGACACCCGAGAGCGAACCGAGGCATCGGCGCAACAACGGCCGCCGGAGATGAACGTGGAGCAGCTCGATTGGCAGGACTTCAGCGAGGAGCAGCTCGCTGTCTACCGTCCTGACTACATCATCGCAGCCGACGTCGTACGCAAACTCTCTTCCTCGCACGCGCGTTGCGTAGTGTGTTAATGACACACACACGACACACACACACACACACACACGCAACCAATGACAGCTGTACGACCCGGGGCTGGTGGACGCCTGCCTAAAGGTGGTGTCGCAGGTGCTCGAGCGCAACCCGGCCTGCGTGGCCCTCATCGCCTCCACCATCCGCAACGAAAACACCTTCGCCCACTTCCTGGCCCAGGCCCCGGCCATGGGGCTGGCCGTCACCACGGCCCAGCTCCACGCCAGCCCACCCGCCCTCGTCGACACGCTCCCCTTCTCCCTGCCACCACCGTCCGCCCTGTTCACCGCCGCCGCCGACGCACCACCATCACCGCAGCTGCAACTGCCGCGGTTGTTTCCGTACGTGCGCGAGAACAAGACGATCATCATCAACGCCATCCGCCGTCGAGAACGAAGCGAACAACAATAAAAGCAACTTACCAACGACGAGACGAGGAAAATGGTTTTGTCACACACAGCCCAAACGTGTTCTTACACAACAAAGAAGGGAAGAAGAGCTGCTTAGTCGCTGGAGGTCTTGGGGGCGGTCTCCTTGACGATGTTGTCGAACTGCTCGGCGTAGGGGCCGGTCTTGACGGTCTGCTTCACGAACTCGTCGAACTTGACAGCGGTCTCGATGTCGGGGATCCGCGAGATGGCGGCGATGGCTCGCAGCGCGCTCCTGATGAGCTCCTCGTTGCGGTCCACCTGCTGCTTCACCGAGTTGTCCTTCACCTGTAGCACCCGAGAGCGTCAGAAAACGTGTCGTGCGTGTCGTGCGTGCGTGTGCGGTCGTGCACGCTTACGTGTGCGGTGTCGTCATTAAAAAAAGGACGCGTAGTGGTACCTTGCTGGTGACGGTCTTCCTGAGGGGCTCGATGAGGAGCTCGACGCCGGTGAGGAGGGCGGTGGGGGCGTGCTGGGCGAGCCTGACGAGCATGAGGTGGCACAGGAGCTGGATGTCGTGGATGTCCTGGAGGCCCTCGACGAGGTGCTTGATGAGGGCCGGGATGTCGAGCTTGTCGATCGACGTGTCGAGCAGGGTGTAGAGGCACTCGAACGCGGCCTTGCGGTTCTCGAGGCCCTCGTCGACCTTGTGCTTGAACGGGCCGAGGTCGATCACCTTGATGAGCTCCTTCTTGACCAGGGTCTCGGCGTAGAGGGCGTTGAGGTGCTCGCTCAGCACCGGGCGCACGAGGTTGGCCTTGTTGTGCGCGGCATAGTTGAGGGTGAGGAGCGCGGCGCGGCGGACCTCGACCTCGGGGTCGCTCAGGCCCGCGAGCACCTGCGGGATGATCGTGGCCAGCGCGGCGTCGACCGGGTGCGGGTGCGGGTCGACGGCGTACTTGATGGCGGTGATGACCGACACGCGGGTCTGGGGCGAGGCGTCGCCGATCTTCTTCTGGAGGGCGGGCACGAGCTGGTCGGGGCTGATGAGGGTGAACTTGCCCAGGCACTTGGCCACCACCGTGCGGATGCCCTCCTCGTCCTTGTCGGCGTGCTGGAACAGCAGGGCGAGCACCTCGGTCAGGTGCGGGAGCAGGGCAGTGGCGGCGGCGGCGCCGGTGCTGTGGGAGATGATCTCCTCGAGCGAGTGCATGAGCAGGTACTGCTTCTTGGGCGTCTCCTTGATCTGCGCCAGCACGAAGGGCAGGAAGCGCTCGACGTTGCCCACCGCGACGTTGCCGAGGGCGAACGAGGCGGCCGACTTCTCGTCTTCGCCACCGTCAAAGGCGTCGAGCAGCACGGACTGGATGTCGGTGTGGGCCGAGAGATCGACGCGGCGGCCGATCTCGCCCAGCGCGAGGAGCGCGAGCACGCGCGAGGTGCCGGCCTTGCGCACGTCGGCGATGAAGCGCTCGACGGTGGCCTTGCGCTGGTCGGCGGTGGCGTTGACGCACAGGGCGGCAATGCACTTGGCGATGTTGGCCTGGCTCTGCTTGGTGGTCTGCGAGGCCTTGAGCGACAGGCCCAGGAGCGAGTCGAGCAGCTCCTGGAAGCCAAACTTCTTGTGGTCGGCCGCGACGAGCGCGCTGTAGAGGGCGAGGAGCGACTCGAGCGCGAGGCCCTGCAGCACGGGGCTCTGCACGAGGGCGAGGATGTGCGGGTAGAGCTTGGCCTGGACGACGTTGATCGAGTCCTTGTCGACCGAGATGACGGTCTCGAGCAGCCGGAGCGCGAGGTGGGTGAGGTGGAGATCGACGTCGCTGATGAGGTTGACCGACTCGTTGAGCACGGCCTCGTACTGCTGGCTCTTGATGTCGGCGCCGTAGGACTTGACCAGCACGGCGAGCGCCCGGAGCGAGGCCTGCTTGAGCTGGCGGTTGGCCTGCCTGAGGAAGGCGGCCAGCTCGGTGAGGGCCTCGGGCAGGATCGCGCGGATGTCGACCTTGAGCGGCGAGTTGGCGATCTCGATGAGCGCGTTGACCGACGTGAGGCGGGTGATCTCGTTGCTGAGGCGCTGCAGGAGGATGTCGAGCGCCTTCTTGAGTGAGTCGGCCGACAGGCCGTCGCCCAGGTGCGCGACGGTGAGACCCATGCAGGTGATGGCGCTCTCCTTGACCTCCTGATCGATGTCCTGCGCGTTGTACTTCTCAAAGATGCTGTCGTAGATCTTCTGGGCGTAGGGCTTGTGGTCGAACTGCGAGGCGGCGCCGTTGTGGGGCCTGATCACGGTGACCAGGTGCGAGGTGACGCGCAGCGCCTCGGCGGTGATCTTGTAGTAGTTGTCGCCCACGGCCTTGAGCACGGGCGCCGAGAGGGCCTTGATGTGCGGGTGGAACACGGCAGCGTCATGCGAGGTGAGCAGAAGGCGGGCGAACGTGAGGCCCTCCATCTTGGTGCTGGCGTCGGTGCCCTTGCCCTGCGCAATTTAATCGAACAGACCGCGGTCAGTTGAGAAAAAGCTGCAGAACAGCCCAGGGTGGCGGGAGTGCGCGTACGGAGAGGGAGGTGGTGATGCCCACGACGGCGTCGCCGATGTGCTCGTTGAGGGCACCGGGGTAGGTGTGGACGAGCTCCTTCAGCAGCTGGAAGATGCCGGTCCTGGACTTGGCCTTCACCGCCTTGGACTTGAGCTCCTTGTTCAGGTTGCCCATCGCCGCGGGGATCTGCGACGGTCGCCGAAAAGAAGAATGAGGAGGTCAGACCAAGTCAAGCAAAGCGAACCCAAGGTGAAACCAGTGCACTACGATTGGCACTCGTACGTTGGACTTGAGCTGGGCGAGCACGCCCTCCTCGGTGTTCCTGGAGCCCCTGCTGACGAGGGTGGTCTGCTTGAGCACATCGATGAACACGCCGAAGATGTCCAGCTTCACGTTCTCCTCCCTCTCCTTGAAGCGGGCGACGATGGCGGGCACGACCATCTTGTAGAGCTTCTCGAGGAGATCGGGCCTGGTGACGACAACGGCGTCGATGCACTTGGCAGCGGCCCTGCGCACCTTCCAGCTCATGTCGTCGTCATCGCTGTAGTCCTCGTCGTCGCTGGGCTCCTCTTCCTCCTCGTCGTCCTCGCCACCCTCTTCCTCTTCTTCCTCATCCGAGACCGCATCGTAGTTGGGGTCCCACTTGATGAACTCGAGGGCCTGGGCCAGGATCTCGTCGATGAAGGGCCGCACCTCGGACGGGCATCGCAGCACGAGCGACTCGAACGTCTGGAAAGTGTTCTCCTTGAGCTCGTCGTCGGACTGGAAGCGCTCGTCGTGCAGGTACTTGACGAGCAGCCCGATGATGCCCTTGCTCTCGAGGAACTTGCCCAGGCGGTAACCCACAGAACGGCTGACATGGAAGGAAAAGGATCCAGTCAGGTGCTGGCCTTCTCCTCATCTCATCTTGTTCATGATTGCACAAAAGATTGCTCTCTACAAATGAAAATAAAGATTTGAAGAGGCAAGTAGTACCTGATGGCACCAATCACGGAAATGAGGGTGCGAATGTAGTTGGCCTTCTTGGCGCTCTGGATCTCGTTCAGGAGGTAGGTGACAAGGTCCGAGAAGAGGTTGTCGGGGGCCGAGACGGACCAGTAGCCAAGGCACGAGATGGCCTTCTTGCGCGAGGCGTCGCGTGTAGAGGTGAGGTGGGGCACGATGGCCTTCTGGATCTTTTCGTGCTCCTGGACGAGCGTGGGGTAGCGCCTGAGAACGTCGCTCAGGACGCTCAAGCACTCCATGACCACCTCAGGGATATCTTGCTACATGTGTAGAATGCAATATTGGGGGGGGGGCGTCAGAGCCGAGCCAGGGCTGCAAATGCAGCAAAGAATTGAGGTAACACGAACCGACACGCCCTGGATGAGCTTGGGGTTCACTCTCTGGATGACGATGGTGGCAGTAGGCGACTCGGGAGGGGTCTGGGCCACAACGGTCCTGAGACCGATGCCGGCAATGTCTCGAAGCTCGCTCTTCTTGTTTTGCAGCACATAGTCGCTCAGCGTGTCGATAATGACCTGCAGCTGGGCCTCCTTGATCTTGGAGATGAGGGGCTCAAGGCTGCACGCGCAAATTAAGAGGAATCAATAATAAGTAAATAATCAGCGAAAATCGTTCAATAAATAAATCAAAAGAGAATCGATGAGAGCGACGTACCACTTGACGGCCATACCCTGCACGTCCCCCGAAGGGTCGTCAAAGAGCTGCACCATGGCAGTGCAAATCTTCTTCTCAGAGTCGTTGTCCATCTTGAAGGTATCCTTCTTCAGCTCGTTAAGAAGATCGGACAGCGCCATGTATCTGAAGTCCTTGTCCCTGTTGGACATCTACATTGTGCGCACCACAAAGAACGAATTGCCATTAAGTAGTGAGTGATGGTCAGCGTAATCAACAGGAGTACTTGCTACGTGTCAGTGCTGCAGTACCTTTTCAAGAACCGACGAGATCGAGAAGGTGGTCATCTTGTGTTGAAGGCAGCGGACACACGAATTATACAACAATCAACCTCAACAAATGGACGGATGCGCTGACCTCTGTGTGCGCTGTGTGAAACAACAAATCCAAACGCGCAGAACAAACTTTCTTTTGCACTTCACCCCAATCACTGAAAGAGCACCAAAAAAGAAAAGAAAGAAAAAAATTCATTTTCATTTTTTGTATTTTTTTTCTTTTGGCCGCCAGCGAAGCTCTTTCTGGCCAGACAAGAGGCAAGAAGAAGACAAGCGAGTGGTGTTGGTGGTTCGTGTTGTGTGTTACCAAACAGGGGCGTTGAGGATGAACAAGTTGGCTTCCTCGTTTCGGATCCACTTGAGGATCTGGTTGCAAATCTTGAGCGCCGTCGGCTTCGGCACCAACGGGCCGAACGTAGCGTACACCTCGAACCCTGCACACACGCACCACCGCACACGCACACGTGAGTCACGGGTAAATGCGTGTGAGGCAGAACACACACACACACACACACACACACACACACACACACACACACACACACACACACACACACACACAGGAAACGGCATGCAGCAAGTACCTGAGGTGACCCAGGCCACCATGCTCTCTCGCGTGCTGATATAGTAGAACACGCGGGACGAGTTCTTGTCCTTTCTGGCCTCGCCCAACACCATGGACTCGTTCACCTGTAGTGACGGCATGGTGATGATGATGGTGAGCAACACGTGCGAATTGGAGGATTCTAGCAGCACAGACGAGCGCAGACGGATGGAAGCAGGCGTACCCTGTACTGGACCCTTTGATAGAGTCTGAATAGTCGCTTTTGCTCCTTGGCATTGATGTATGGTGGCTCGAACCTTGGGCACGTGAACTACACAAAAGCAAGACGACACTTGCTTTAGCACGACCAACGACACGACACGTAGAGACAGATACAAGAGGGGTGCGCATACCTGCGAAGTACGTTGGTCTTTGTACAAAAAATGGAGCAGGTAACGAGAGCTGGGCGTGAGGGAAGCGGCGGCGGAGAGGAGGAGACTGGTGCCGGCCGAGGCGAAGGAGGGGAAAGCCGAGGAGGAGGAGAGCGAGAGCAGGGTCGAGGAGGTGACGGAGGAGAGCTGCGGGGCCGAAGACGAGAGCGTCGCCCTCGCGGCCTGCGCGGCGGCGGTCGATCGCGCGCCGACGGTCGACGATGAAGACGACGACGGCGATGTTTGTGAAGACGATGAAGTGGAGGTGGAAGAAGCGACGGAAGAGGTGGACAGCGACGAGGCAGAGGAGATGATGGAGGATAGCGATCCGGAAGAGCTCGAGGGTGACATGGAGGAGGGCGAGGACGACGAAGGCGACGAGGTCACGGGCGAGGTAAAGGCCGCCGACAGCATCGCTAAGCCGCCGCTCTCTTTCGCGTCCATCTCCTCCTTCAGCGGACCCAGCACATCGTCCACCGAGTAGTGGTGCCTGAAATGATTTAAAAAAAGTAAATAAACAAAGATAAATGAATGAATAAATGAATTTTTTTAAAAACAAATAAGTAGCAAAGCTGGAGGGCATACTTGGAGTTGGCGTTTCGTTCGAGCGATTCGCGGATCGTACGGAGCGCGCCGACTTCCCTCAGACCTCTCTCGATCTGGTTCTTGCCTGTTATGTGCGGCGTGACACACACACGCGCTCATGAGAAGGAAGCCAAGGGGCGCCCGAGTTGCCGGCGGTGGCGGTGGCGCTGCATACCAGCTTCGAAGTTGCCCGCCTTGGTGGAGATCAAAATGAGGCACACCTCCTTGCTCAGGAAGGTCGTGTAGAAGTGAAGATAGCCCCTAACAGAATTATAGGCACCGTTGCCCAGGTCAGATTGACTCAGCATTGCAGGCTTTTCGGCCGTGTTGCAAGGCAAGGAGTGTGATGAAGCGCTTACCGGTCGTTGAATCGGGGCAGGCACACGGGCGAGGTGCTCGACTCGGTCTGCTTGATCGAAGTCGCGTTGCTGAGGAAGTTGACGATCAAATGGAAATCTGTCGCCGGCGCGACACACATGTTGTCAGTTGAACCGAGCCTCCGCAGCATGTTTGGCATGTTTGGGCCATCCGAGCGTACGCACCTTCAGAGTGGAGTGCGTGCTTCTTGAGTCGCACGACGTTGACCAGCTGCTGTCGCGCGAGCAGCAAAGTGTAACTACGCGCAATGGGGGTCAGACCAGCGTTTGAACAAATCTTTCGGCACAGGGGTGGTGCCGACACGTACACTATTTCGTCGGTGTGGTAGCTCTGCATCACCACCCCGGTGGCGTGCCTGTGTAGCGAACATCGAACAAACGAACAAACAAACGTCGGCGGCGGCGGCGAAGGTCAGAACTACGAAGTGGCGAGGCGTGTGGTGGTTTGGGGAGGAGGGCACCTGGTGGTGGCGTCCAGGGGAAAACAGTAGACGGCGTTGAGGAAGCACGAAGAGAGGAAGAGCATGTCGTGCTCCATGCTATCGATGAGGCTGTCGATCAAGTGCGTGGAATCTACAAACACAAGAAGCCCCCCCCCCAAACGAAGAGATCGATCGCTTAGCACTCGTGCACAAGAGCTCGGCGAGTCTCACGCGAGTGGGCGCTGCATACCTCCGAGGAGTGTGCGGATGTCAAAGTGTGCTCGCGAGTCGTAGATCTTCTTCACGCCGGACGTCAGGGACGAGAGAATCTGCGAATGGATGTACTCCAACTGACGCGCCAGGTGCGTAGCCGGCTACACACACAACACACACACGCGACACGACACGACACACATGCGGCATTGATAAGCCTCAGCTGTGGCACAGAAGAGAGAGAGGTTGTTTGTTACCTCGTCGGTGCGTGAGACGGCCACCAGGTGGAGCGGCCCCTTGAAGAGGAACACAATCTTGTGGGCGCCTGCATATATGGTCCTATCGGGGCGTAGAGAAGAAGAAGTGGCAAAGAGCAGAAACGACCTGTGAGTGTGACCTGGGACAACCCCAACACTCGTGCGTCAAGCGAGAAGAAGAAGAAGCTCACTTGATGGTGTCGCCCGTTGCATCGACAAAGGAGGAGATGGCAGACAGCACGGGCATGAACGCACATAGCTTTTGTTCATCGCCATGCCTGCAGGTGGCAGTGGTGAGATTTGCAATTGAATTGGTGAGGCAATTTAAAATGAATGAATGGAACCGACCTGGAGTAGACCGGCTTTCCCGAATTGCTGAGAATGAAGACGTGCTTCTTGTGGTGGGGCCATTCGTGTTGAAAATAGTAGTCCTCCTCCTCGCCCTCTCTGTTCTTCCTCGTCTTCCTTGGCTTTGGCATGTTACCATCGTCATCGTAGAGGTCTGCAGACGTATCGAGATCGAGCACCGACACTTCATCTGCCAGGTCGATAGCATCGTCGGAAGATTCCATCGATGAGAATCCTCCGTTCTCAACGGGGCCAGTGCTGCCATTCGATCCATGGCCGCCCCCATCTAGAAGCGATTCGAATTCTGCTTCACCAGTCACGGGGCCTTTCGATGCCACTCCATTTGCAAGAGAGGGTGAAGACATGTCCTCCCTCGTTGTGTCCTACGACAAGCCTGGAGCGCAGATGAACCCAGTCGGCCTCCAAACGCGCCTCGTTGCGCCCGAGATGAAGTGCTTCGAGCCCGAAACAGAAAACAACATTTCAAATCCCACAAAAAAATGTGCGGTGACGTGGCGCCGCGTCATATTTATCTTTCTTTTTGCCTTTGGGGCACATTTAACGAAAACAAATCTCTGTGATTGGAGCCAAGATGAGGCGCGCTGCCACCCTCCACCGCGCTACCCCGGGCGCTGCTGCCTTCTCTTCTCGCATCTCCTTCCCTTCTTCATCCGTTCTTGCCGCTACATCTTCCGCTCGCATCCAGCTGGGCACGAGCAGCAATGCCATTGCCCCATCTCACCCGCTCGTGATTATCGGCGCGCGTGGCCTGCGGCTTCGCAAGGGGCGAGAGGACTGGTACAACGAACAGGAGGGCAAGCCCCATCCCGGTGCGGAGTACCCTTGGGGCGTGCGCCGCATTTACCCGGAATCCTGGATCCGCGAGCCGCGCGGCTCCCTCTTCCCCCTCGTCCCCGAGCCCCGCAGTACGCTTCTTCCCCAATCCAATATTATGAACGCTTCTCCTTCCATTTAATCGTCCGCCTCGCAATCATCTATTCATTTTTATTTATTTTTTTGATTTTTGCGGATTTTTTTAAATTCATCTTGCACATGCTTGGCACCACAGAGGGAGAGACCGTAGAGAGCTTCTTCCAGAAGATCAAGCTTACTGACCACGCCAGCAAGTTCAGCTCCTGGGAGGAACTGTTCACCACCAAGACGAGGGTGCGTGCGCCACTCTTCGCCCCCCCTTTTTGTGTGCTGTGCGGTTTGACTCAACGTTTCTCCTCTCTGTTGGCAGGCGATGCGAGCGAAGGGCATCAAGAAGTCGAAGGACCGACGGCTCATCCTGTCGTGGGTGGAGAAGTACCGGCAGGGCGTCGATCCGGGCACCAGCAAGTACCTCCTCTACTACCCGAAGGGCTCCTGGTAGTAGAAGTCCCATCAGGTGTTGGCTGTGCCAGGTTGCATAATAGGAGCATTACCACCCTCACTTGTCACGGAACTTGGTTCATCCAAGCCATGGCTCTGTCTGTGTGTCCAACAGGCACAGGGTGGGGAGGCCTTGTTTTTCTTTTCTTTTTTGTCACGTGAAAACCAAAATTTAAATTTAAATATAAAATAAATAAAATAATATTTATTTTGTTGGCAGAGATGGAGGCATCTGGTGCAGAGGCGGGTGGGCAGACAGTGCACCGACCGCTCGCTGGCGAGGGAGGGTTGCAGATGCGTGGTGATGAAGGTGGGGGAGGGTTGCAGTTCCCAGGGGCAGCTCAGCCTGACATACTTCGTTCATCAATGAAAGATGATTTTTATCGCAAAATGCTCTACTCTTCCACCCTCGACCTCGTTCTGCGGTCCCTCGGTACGGCCGCCCTTCTCCATCCATTTTATTATTTCACTTTTAATCGTAAATAATAATCAACTGAATGGCGCACCTCGGCCAACTGCAGGACCGCAGTGGGCGCAGGCGCACAAGTCTCACGTGAAGCTGCTCAGCGACCTGTGCTACTACGCACTCACCACCCTGCGAGGTATGGCTCTCGCAATCTTGATCTTCCTCTGCACTCTTTGCGTGTTGTGTGGAGGTGTTCACACACACACACACACGCACAACACACACACACACACACACAGGAATGCAGACGCTGGGCGAGGAGTACTGCGATTTGGTGCAGGTGACGTCGGCGAGCGGTACGCCGCCGGAGGTGTTGCGGCGGGTGGTGCTCATGTGCGCCGCCATCCTGGTGCCCTTCCTCTACCGCACCCTCACCGCCAAGCTGCTCGTCATGTCCCGTCCCCGGCTCCTCCACCACCAGCCCCTCATGTTCCAACACCGACAGCGCCTCGGCAGCCCTGACGAAGGCACGTCTGTGTGCCGTGTGTGTGTGTCCGTTGTGTGTGTATGTGTCGTGTGTGTGTCGTGTGTGTGCCGTACCGCACACGCTCATGGTGTGATGGTGGTGTCGAAGCAGAGCTGGTGTTTTCGCCGATCGCGTCGGTGGTGCGGTGGTTTAGGGCGGCCAAGGCCAAGTTCGACGCCTATCGATTCGAGGAGCCCACGGCCCAGTTCCTGCAGACCAACATCCCGCGGGTCAAGCAGTCCGTCAAGATCTACAAACGCCTCCACCTCGGCCTCTTCTACCTCTTTGGCGTCTACTACCACATCTCCAAGCGAGCCGCCGGCATCGAATACGTGCGTCTCCGCTGTGTGCCGTGTGTCGTGTGCGTAGTGAGTCGTGTGTGCTGACGCTGCAATGGTCTCTTTGAGTTCAGGTGTTCAATCGCAAGGTGACGGAGCCGCGGCTGCAGTACCACGTGCTCGGGTTGATGATCTTCGCCCAGCTGGGCATTCAGGGCCTCATGTGGGCCAGCGAGCAGGCCCGGGCGCACGCGAGTAGGTCGCTCGGCAGCGGCGGCGACGGTGATGAGGAGGCCGAGGCAGGCCTCGAGGGGGACGAGGAGGCGCAGCGGCTGACGGCGGAGGCCGAGGCGGTGCGGACCCGGCAGGCCGAGGGCGACTACGAGGAGGCGCCCATCTGCGGCCTGTGCCTCGAGCCGCGCAAGTTCACCACCGCCTCTCCGTGCGGACACCTCTTCTGCTGGTACTGCATCCACGAGGCCTGCAAAGCCAAGGTACGCACACAACAAATGACGTGTGTTGGGTGTCGCGTGTCGCGTGTGTCGTGTTGTGCGGCGTGTGCGATGACTTATCAAAAGGGTGATGACGGGTGAGTGCAGCCAGAATGCCCAATGTGTCGGCGGACCATCACGCCGGCCGCCCTGACGCGCCTCCACAACTACAAGTAACCCACTCGAGCGGCAATCTAGGGCAGAGGCCGCTGCAGTGGTGTAAAAGGGTAATAAATAGTATTTTTTATCATTTTATTCCCTTTTCTTGTTGCCATCGCTCATTCAAGATGAAGCTGGTGGCTGTAATGCTGCTGGTGTTGGCGGTGGCCATGGTGCAGGGAGAGGCGGTCACGCGGCCCACCATCCCTGACGCCTGGAATGCCACCATCAAGGGCAACCTCATCAACTTTTTCCCATTCACAGGTCCCCTCAATCTCGTTTCCTTTATCCAATAATCCATTCAATCTAATTTGCGTCTTTGCCTTCTGCAGCTGCCATCACCCAAGATAGAGTCTCTGCACGCACCAGGTAAGAATAAACAATTCGATTACTTTATTCATTCATTATTCAATTGATCATTTTATTTTTTACATCTGTGGTTTATTTGGGGCTGCCTGCAGGCTCGACTTTGCGCTGCCTCATGGCTCCTATGAAGGCTCCATGCTGTTCGACTTGGCTGCGGGCATGGGCTATTTCTTCGACAGCGAGGCTGCCGTGGCCAACGTCCGCCAGCCCCTGTGCCAGCCCATCGCCCTCACCCCCAAGATCACCCAGCTCCTCTCCTGGGACTGTACGCACACCACACTCCACCTCCCTCCCCTTCCTTCATCTTCAACTCCATCTTTACTTTTTGTTGCCTCCTCACCTGCGCTACTCGCTCGCTTTTCCTCGATCTCATCAGACTACCAGCTCGCCAACATGTGCGGTGCTTCGTGCTGGGAGTACGCTTGACCACCCTCTCTGTCGCCGGTTACAGCCGTTGTTTATTGTTAACATGTCGTGTGTCGTGTGTGTCGTGTGTGTGCGACGTGTTGCAGATATGTTTCAGGGCAGGAAAATGAGAAGTATCAGTGGATCTTCAAGGGCCAGCCCTCGACCCTCTTTTCCTTTGAAATCAACCCCCTCCACAAGGGTAACCCATCTGTCCTGTTCGTGTGCGCGTGTCGTGTCGTGTCATGTCGTGTGCTGGCCTGATCGTGTGTGTGGCGGCTGGGTGCCCAGGGAAATCCAACATGATCGCCGTGCTGCGCGACCTCAAGGTCGGGCCGCAGGCTGCCGACGTGTTTGCGGTGCCGTCCTTCTGCCCGCAGCACCCGTTCGCGCCGGCGGCCGACGACCTGGCCCTGCTCGACCTCATCACCGCCCTCGCCGCCAAGTCCGCGTAGGTGGCCGCCAGCCACCACCAATCGCACATCACATCACATCACAACACAACACATAACTCATCCATCACATGGCACACCACGTCAATGTGTTCATTGGTTCAATTTTTATTGGTTTGCCTTTTACAGACTACACTTAAATGTTACAGTGCTCGGTCACTTTTGGTGGCTGAGCCCGCAGAGCCAATCGTATTCGGGTAGAGCCAATGATGAGCGGAGGCTGGTGATGAAGCTAGCCCGGCGCGTTTGACGACAAGTCGACCGCAGCGGTCTTGATGTCCGTCCAATGTCGGCCGACAGAGCGCTTCCGTGAGAAGGTTTATAAGATCAGCCCATGTGGGCGACACTACTATCGCACACACCAACCCCAACGATCAAGCACACCACGTTCGCTCAAGAGAAGATGAAGGTCTTCATTGTAGTCGCCTGCCTCTGCCTCTTCGCCCAGGCCATTGTGGGTCAGGAGGACCCTCTGACCGTCACCGCGCCCTCACCCTCCTTTGCCTACTCGGGCGAAGCCGTGGGCACCTTCCTCGGTACCCACCACCACCGCTCTGCACCGCGCTGCACTCCACCACCACTCAGACGGCTGAGCCGTCTGTTTTATCGCTCACCCTCCCGGCGCTTGCTTGTCCAGGAGACATCACCGTCAAGACCACCCCCACAGGCGTGCCTTCAATCCTTGCCACGGTCTTGCCCAGCCCTGAGCAGACCACTGTGGCGCCCAGCATTGTGCCAATTCCCCTCATCACCATCGTGCCCAGCCCCCTCATCACCATCAAGCCCAGCCCCCTCATCACCGTCGCGCCCTTTGTACGCTATTCATCTCCTTTCTCCACCAATGTATGCATATATCATCAACCAACCGTCAACTTCTCTTCTTTACAGAAGAAGACGGCGACCGTGGTGGCGCTTACAAGCTCGGCCACCTCCCTCCAGAGCTTCCTCTCTTTCCTCTTCTAAGGACCAGCGCACAACGCCGCCACTCACACTCAGCGCAGAGGAAGAACAAGAAGAACAAATCGTTACCCCAACCAACAACACGCCAGACTTGGTTTATTTGTATGTTTATTTTTATATGTTTGTTGGTTGTGTGGAGCGGGTGCGCTTAGCTTACTAGTAAGGCGAACCGTATCGGTAGTCGGACGGGCCGGCGGACGGGCTCAAGAAGCTCTGCTGGATGGGCGCGGGCTGCATGCGCCACCATCACACGACACACGGCACACGACACATGGCACACGACGCACACGACACACGTTAGAGCCATGGGAAAGAGTGAGTAATGAGAGGGGGGTCAGTAGTACCTTGTTCATGGGACCGCGCGATGGCGTGTCCTCGACCGACGCGGAGAAGGTGACGCGCTTGCGGGTCGTCGAGGGCGGCGGCTGCGGGAATGCGGAGGAGAGCCGCGTGGGCGACAGCAGGATGGACGGCTGCGGCTGCGGCTGCGGCTGCTGATACGGGTGGAGGAAGCCGGACTGCTGCTGGGGCGACAGGAAGCCGAGCTGCTGTTGAGGGGAGAGGAAGCCGGGCTGCTGCGGAGGCGAGCGGAAGGAGGAGGCGGAGGAGGAAGGGGCAGGGGTGGGAGCGTGAATGTGGGAGGCGGACTTGCCACCGTGGGCAAATGACGCGTCGGGCGATTTGAAGATCTGCTTGCCCGGCGTGGCCATGATTGATCGTGTGTGCTCAGCTGTGCAGCACGACACACGACACACACCACGAAACGAGTCAGCGGCGCGCGGCACATACCACGACGCGCAGGAAAGTGCGAACGTACGTTGGTGGTGCGCGAAGGGTGTGCTGGAGCTGGAGGTGAAGGGAGCCGACGTGCTGGGCCTGGTGACGACCTCCTCCCGCACGGGGGCCGGTGGCTGGATGGGCAGCACTGACGGGTCCTCCACGATGTGCACGGGCATGTCGAACCGGTCGGCGTCGCGCGAGGGCGGGCGCAGGACCACGTACATGTCGAGGCCGGCCGAGGCCGAGCTGGTACTACGCTGGGTGGAGGCGCTGGGGGTGCTGGCCAGCGGGGACAGGGGGCCGCCGTAGGGGCTGCGCGAGGGCGAGACGCCGGCGAAGGGGGAGGTCGGTGGCGAGGGTCCAGCGCCCGCAGAGGCCTGGTTGAGGCGCTGCAGCTTGGGTATGATCGTCTCTGGGCCATCTGCAGATTCCAAATTAGCATGTACTCTTACCATCGAGCAAGAAATTTGAGTCCTAGAGGGGTGAGAAGAGCAAGAGACGTACCACCCAATCGCCGGTCTACGGTTGTGGGCACGACCCAGGGTGTAGAGGAGAGCTTGATTCGCATCGTTTGCTCGGACTTCTCTGGTGGTACATCGCAACGCGCTGTCTGCCCCGCCAGGTCTGCAAAGAATTGCTGTGCGAGCGTCTTGTTGATGCCACTTCCTTCCATCATCAGAGCGCAAGCGATTTCCAAGTGAATGAAGCCCTACACAATTTATTGCTTTTTCACAATCTCGCCAACCAATTTTTGGCGCCAAAACAAAAGCTCATTCCAGTCAGCTGTCAATCTCGCAACAAGTCATGAGCGCCACTGGCATCACGGAGGAGATCGTCGCTACGGTACTCAAGGAGAAGCTCACCACCGAGCACGTCGTACGTCCTCTCATCCCCCTTCTTTTTTACCTGTCCATTTGCCACGCCATCTTTACGCAGGGTGTCGGGTTTTAACCGGGCACCTCGCAACGCGACTGACCACGAGACACCGCCATTGCTCTGATGGTCGTCAGGAGGCACACGACTTCTCGGATGGGTGTGGCGCCAAGTTCGACCTGATCGTCGTGACCAAGGAGTTCGAGGGTAAGCCGCTGCTTGATCGGCACCGTCTGGTGAACGAGGCGCTCAAGGACCTCATGCCCAAGATCCACGCTGTCACCATGAAGACCTGGACACCGGCTCAGTGGGAGACCAAGAAGCCTCAGGCTTGATCCATCCACCTCCCAAGAGATCGACCACCATGTTAGCGTCGTTGGACTCTGTTCGTCTTCTTGGTGGTGTTACGCAACATTTTTGGCATACCAGTGCCCATCTCCCACGCCGAGTGATGATTTCAAAGGAACTCTGAATGCGAAGGGCATCGCCACGCGTGTCCCTTCGGGATCGATCTAAATGCATTTACATAAATGAAGAGAACGAAATGGGAGAATTTCATTAACGCTCATCTAATGTCCGGACTGGCGGGCCTGCTGCTCGATGTGCTGGGCCGTGCGCTTGGTGAGGAAGTTCTCCGATTGGACGGTGGCCATGGTGCAGTTGTGGAAGCACTCCTTCTCGTTCTTGTTGAGCGTGGTGCCGAATGACGTCTTGCCCTTCATGCACACCTTCCAGCAATCGTCAGTGGTCGCGAGCACCGACACCTGGATCATCACTTCGGCCTGCAACGCCGCCGCCCGCTGCCTCAAGGTTGTGTCGTCCATGTTTTGTTCTATGTATCGATGATTTGGGTCCTCATTTTCTTCGTTTGGGCTGGCGGCTTCTTCGAATTTCCAGCCCTCGAACCGAATAAAAACCCGGTTAAATTACTAAATTGATTATCTGCGGATTTTTTCAGGGGCTTGCGATGGAGGAGCCCATCGCTCATGAGGCGGAGCCGATGAGCGACGCATCGACGCCGAAGGTGGAAGAGAATGAGACAGTGGGGCCGCCTCGAGTCCGCAAAATCCGGAAGGTTCTGAAACAGAACGAACATGGAGAATTGACGGCTGAGTTCGATGTAAAGGACGATGGAACAGCTCAGCTCGTTGGCTTCGTGGTGCGCAAGCGTAAGGCCGTCGATAATGCCATCGAGCTGAAAGGCGGGGAGCGGCATCAGCTCAAGCGCACGATTAAACGGCGAATCGTGAGCAAAGATCTGGCCCAGTCCATCCAGAAATCTGCCTCGTTGAAGGAGCTACTTGGCGAAGAGGTAGTGTCTGCCGCCACCTTGCACGAGGTACCGTTTAATCACCAAGTTTTATCCTTGCAACCGCGATTGTGCTGAACTCATGAGTTTGTTGGTGGTGCAGAGATGGGACAACGAAGGTTTGGCAGCAGTGTCGACCACGCATGTGCGCAGGTTGGTGATGCGCCTCGCGCCCGAACAGCTCGCGCTCAGCGCCAAGGCGGCCTCGAACGGCGCCGCCGCCAAAGACAGCTCCGCGGCCAAGAAAGCCAGGACCTCTGCCGCGACCTCATCTCGCAGCAAAGCCAAGGTTGCGAAGGTAGCACGCCGCACGACGCACGATGCACGACACACGCACGCGCACGCACCCACAACGCGGCACATTCACTAATCTCATCGGCTGTTCTGTCTATGTAGAAAGAGGAGGTCAAGGACAGCGACGAAAGCGATGCGGCCAGCAGTGCTGACGAGGCCGACAGGACGTCGTTGTCGTCGAAGAGCAAGCGCGCGCAGGCGGCGGCCAAAAAGAAGAAAGAGAGCGCCAAGTCGGCCGCGAAGAAGACCGCGAAGAAGGAGGCCGACAAGAAGCGCGGCACGGCCGCCGCCAGCAAGAAGGCGAAGAGGACCAGCGTCAGTAGCAGCAGCAGCAGCAGCAAGAAGACGAAGAAGGACAGCGACGCCGCCAAGAAGGCGAGCAGCAAGCGCACCTCCTCCTCATCGTCGTCGAAGCGAGCGCGCGAGGAGAGCGACAACGAGGAGGGCGAGGCCAAGGCCAAGGGCGCGAAGCGCTCGGCGAAGAAGAAGGCCAAGATCGAGGAGGAGGACGAGGAGGGCGAGCGGCCCAAGCCGCCTCCCATTCCGTTCTCGTACATCAAGAAGAGTACGCACACACCGCACACACCGCGAACCATGCCCTTAGTGGAGCTCTGGTTATTAATTTCTACGCACGCGTGTGGTCGTGTGCGTGCGCGCTCGGCAGATATGTACTTGCATCGATCGATGCGGCACTGGTCGAGCGACGAAGTGCCCGTCTGCAACTGCCGACTGGTGTCCGGCAAGAAGGCCTGCGGCGAGAACTGCATCAACAGGTCCCCCCCTTCCCTTTTGCGTGTTTTTTCTATTTGTGGCATTTTCATTTATTTATTCTTATAAATATTTATAATTATATACTATTTTATCCTCATTTGGTGATGGGATGACCGCCGTGGCTAATGGATGGGGCCAGGGTGTTGAACATCGAGTGCAAGCTCAAGCACTGCCCGTGCGGCACCAACTGCAGCAACCGTCAGTTCCAGCTACGCAAGTACGCCAAGATCGACCGCTTCCTCACCGGCAAGAAGGTTTGTCATCATCACCATCTTCTTAAATATTCCCCAAGCTGCTGTTGCTGTGTAGTGTGGCTCACTCCACCACTCCACGATGGTGTGCTGCCAGGGGTGGGGCCTGCGAGCGAGGGAGAAGATCCCCAAGGGCACCTTCATCATCGAGTACGTAGGCGAAGTCATCAGCACCGACATGTGCCAGGACAGGTTTGGCCCCTCTCCCTTTCCCTCTACACAAAACAAATACAAAACATTACGAATATGATAATAAAATATAAACTAATACATTCTACAAAAATACATTATTATATTATATATTATTATAATATATAATAATTAACGTATGTCTGTGGTGGGGCACAACAGGATGAAGTACTACGAGGAGATGGGGCTGGAGCACTACTACTTCCTCACGCTCGATGGCTCCGAGTGTATCGACGCCTCGCAGAAGGGCAACCTCGCCCGCTTCATCAACCACTCGTGCAACCCCAACGCCAAAACGCACAAGTGGTTCGTGCCTCGCCTCTCTCGCTCCGGCCATGAGCGCGTGCGCGTGCGATGTTGACTCGCGCGCGCGCGTGTGTGTGTGCGGTGCAGGACGGTGGACAAGGAGATCAGGGTGGGCATCTTCGCCGAGGAGGACATCCCCGTGGGGCAGGAGATCACGTTCGACTACCAGTTCGAGCGCTTCGGCGGCAAGAAGCAGAAGTGCTTCTGCGGCGAGACCAACTGCCGCGGATTCCTCGGCGCCAAGCCCAAGAAGCTTCTCCACCAGCGCAGGGTACTTTTCCGCTACACATTGTTATTATTATTATTTTAAAAAAAGATAATACCGTTATTATATTGTTCTATTTATGTTATTTGTTGAATAATTCTCATTTTATTTGGCAACTTTTGCAGAAAGAATATGCGTCGAGGGCTATCATGGGTCGGCCGCGCGACAACGTGATCAACCCGCTGACCGTGGAGGCGGTCCTGGAGCACGCCCTCCAGTTCAACCCCGTCAACAAGTACCGTGACAAGCACACGCACCACCGCACACGCACACACACCGCACACTATTTGTATATATCGACACACGACTGACACTCGCACTACGCATATAGGGTCAAGCTGGACGTGCTGTTCCCCGAGTCCGACCAGCAGCCGTCGCCGGCATTGGGCGCCGGCCCGCCGATGTCGCCCCCGCTGCTGGCCACCGCCGTCGCGCAGATGTCGCCGGCCGCGCGGAGCGAGTTCATGTCGAGCCTGCCGCCCATCGTGCCCGTGTTCCTACGGCGCAACGCCATCCGGGTCCACCGCCAGTGCTTCGTCAAGTACCACCAGCTCAAGGGCGCCGTAGTGGTCGCGACGCAGCCCGACGACGCGTCGTCGCTGGGCTCGGCCGGACCCTCTTCAGCCGCCACGACCACGGCGACTACGGCGGCCGCGAAGGCGACCAAGGCCAAGGCGGCAGCGAGGCGAGGAGGAGGAGGGAGAGCCAGCACGGGCGGACGGGCCAAGGCCAACGGCAAGAGCCGGACGTCGAAGTCAACGGCAAAGGGGAAGAAGAAGAAGACGAAGAAGGAATCATCGTCTTCATCGTCATCGTCGGAGTCGTCGTCAGAGTCATCTTCTTCTTCGTCGTCGGAGTCGTCATCGTCTGAGGATGAAGATGACGAGGGAGCCAAGAAGAGCGCCAGCAAGAGCCGGAGGAAGAAGGCAGTGGCAGACAGCAAGAAGAAGAAGACGACTACAAAGCAGCAGGCGGGAAAGAGCAAGAGAAAGGCGACCACGACAAAGGCGCGAGGCACAAAAGCGAAGGCCAAGAAGGCGGTGCCCGAGAGCGAAAGCGAAAGCGACGAGAAGAAGGAGAAGGAAAAGGAGAAGAAAGTGGAGGAGGACGTTCCTGACAGCGAACGGGAAGAAGAAGAAAAAGAAGAGGAAAAGGCCGCCAAGGAGGACAAGAGGAACGACGCCGAAGACAGTGGAGGAGGAGACAAGATGGAAGAGGAGCCCAAGGAAGAGAAGGAGGTAAGCAGCCGACCCGACGGCGGCGAAGATGGAGCGCGTGACGTACAAAAGGAGACGAAGGAGAAGGATGATGGTGGCGACGAGATGGCGGACACGACTAAGGAGGAGGGTAAAGGTGCTAGCCCACATCAGGATGACAACGGCGAGGGCGATGACGACGCTGCCCTGCGAGGAGAGAGTGGCCCCGAAGATGAAGGCGAGGACAACAACAAAGGAGACGTGATGGACGTTACACGAACAGATACCCAATAAATATCTCTTTTTCTCTATTTTTAATGTATTTGCTCTCTTTTTTTTTTGATAATTAGTAGAAATCAACAATGTTGCGATCGAATGGACGGCGGGTGATGGCGGGGACCTCGTGGGGCCTCCGCCGCTCGTCGAGTGCGGCAGGGCGGTTGACGACGTCGCCACGAAGATGCTACACGCCGGGATCGGCGACGCCTGCAGATGAGGCGGAGCAGGACAAGGCACTGCGCGAGGGCGTGCTGCGCGGATTCGACCAGATGCACTCCCTCGAGCGGATGGAGGTGGAGGGCAAGGCCACCCTTCCCGACAGCCAATCTGGCGTCTCCCTCATCCTCCAGGGCAGCGGTGTGCTTCTTCTCTCCATCCATGTTTTGCATCCATCAATCAAATTTACATCTCACACGCGTGCATGCACAGGCAAAATCTTGCAGGTGAAGGTGGACCAGGAGGTGGCAGACAACGTGGAGAATGTCGAGAAGCTCTTTGTCGCTGCATCACAGAACGCACGGCAGAAGGTACCAGTGCCTATTCAATGCGACCTTCTTCTTCTTCATCATCTTCTTACACACTTCACATTGTACGCTGCCTCGCGCGGTCCATGCGCTACAGATCGCCGACCGCATCAACAGTCTGCTGGCCGCCTCTCACCAGTAGTAGAAGAGCGAGTCACGTGGCAGCCACATCCCACAAGCGCAATTGGATGCTTGCCAACCAGTTGCAGATGTTATGTCCTTTCTTGGTGTGTAACCCTGAGGTACTGGTACAGGACTGGTGCCAGGTCTTACGCTGTACTGTGATAAGACAAACAACTTCAAGCTGCTGTGTCATGTTCCATTCCTTCTCTGTTGTCCCACCAGTCCCACAACCTTGCTTGTGTTGATGGTAACCACAGCTCCATCTATCCCTCAAAAGAACCTGAATTGGAGAGTCATCGTCTTCAAGAAGAGAACAATCTCAGCTGGACAGCCAAGATGGCAGACAGCACCACCAAAATCGGAGAAAATGCATTTTCTCCGCGTTTTCCTTTCGTCTCTCTTCTTGGCTTGTCCCACAACTTGGTGGGCTTGCCCGCAGTGACGCCCTCAAGAAGGGCCGGCACAGGTGAGAATGGTCGAGCGTGGTGCACCCTGTCAATGGGTTACTTCGAATTTTCTTCCACAAAATGTCACCTTGTGTAGGAGTGGCGGTGTGTCCTCGGGTGGGCGCCGCCTTGGTCCTGGGCCACGGAACGTCGTGGCCTGGGCCAGGCGCGTCAACTAACCGTGGACGCCCACCACTCCCACCAAAGCCCGTACCCATGACGCAACCACCAGCTTTTTTGATTCAGTTTCCTTTCTGTTCTTCTTGTTCCGGCATCTTCAGTTCACACACTTCAAAAGATTGGAGGAATACTTTGGTGTCTGGTTGAGCGCGGGTTTGTTGTTGTTTTGTTGTTTGTAGCAAGCTGCCCAATGGAAGGACCGAACAAGAAGAAACAGCGACGCGGCGAGTGGTCCGTAGCGGACGAGCAACAACCATCTTCACACGGTCTCCCACTTCCGGTCGAGTTGATTGGACACACCTTTGGTTTCTTGACAGACCACCCCCGCAACTTGGCCCGCTGTGCCCTGGTTTCTAGTCCCCCCGCGCGCTCTTCTCGTTTCGCTCGTCGTTCTTCGTTCTTCGTTCTTTGTTATTACCCCGACCATTCCCATCCCTCAGGTGTGCTGGGCGTGGGCAGAGGTGGTGGGCAGTAACTCCGACGCTCTGTGGAGGCAGGCCCTTCGGCCGTTCTTGCGTCGCTGGCCCGTGGACCACCAGCACCTGGTACACCGCGTGTGTGTCGTATTGCATGCGATCCTGATCCATATGCGCTGATCTCCTCGCTGTGTGCGTGTGCGTGTGCGTGTGCGTGTGCGTGTGCGTGTGCGTGCGGTCGCGCGATCGCGCGATCGTGTGTGGATTGTGTGGACAAGGAGGGAGTTGGGTGGAAGGCCAAGCTCAAGAGGCACATGGAGCTCTACTGGCGCACCACGCCTCCCGGCCCGTCCGACATTTCCAGGTGTGCCACTCGACTCTCATTCTGTGACGCCGTCACTCACCCTCACACGCTTCGTTCCTCTTCGCCTTCACTCTTCGCTCTTTGCTCTTCTTCGTTCTTTTGTCCGATCGGCAGAATCAGTCCCGAGTTGCTCGGCCTCGGAGCGCCCTGCATTCGGCTGCACCCGCGCCGCATCGGTTCGTGCAGTCGCGACCACTTCGACCGCCCCTGAACGTGAGCTGTGACCGTATGGCTGGCTGACAGGCCAGCACTCTCTGCGTGAAGAGGACGGCACAGTTGCGCCGCGGAAAGATGCGTCGAAGTGGGCCGGCGAGTTCCTGTGGCCGTCCAACGAGCCTTGGCCCAAGTGCGAGCAGTTCTACAAAGACCACGACGCAGACGACGACGATGAAACGTGTGGCGTCGCCGTTCCCGTGCTGCAGCTACGTAAGGACGACCTGGCGGGCGTCGTGGTACCGTCATCTCCAATTGCTTTTTCATTATTTAAAGATTACTGTAATTATTTTGTTTTAATATTATGTGTTTTTTCTCACATAATATTAAATTTCTTCTTCGAAATGATGAACAGACGTTTCCAGAGGGGAAGGACCTGTTCCAGCTGCTCTGGTGCCCCACCATACACGACGACAGCTACACCGTGCGCATCGTCCACTATTGGCGTTCCATTCAAGAAGTGGAACGCATCAACGCACAGGTCCCCACCGGGTATGTAGTCTCTCTCTCTCTCTATCTTTCTCTCTCCTTTTGTGGTGTCATCATGTAACATGTTCCCTCAAAATAGGCAACCACTTCATCCCTTGCCCAAAGAATATCCACGGTGCGACACGGTGCCTGCTCCTTGTTGGCTCTCCCCTGAGCTTGTCACTGGTACCATGTTCAACACACTACCCACACCCGTCACAACCCACACACACACACACACACACACACACGCACACACACACACACACACACAGCACACAAACCAAGTCATCACCTGGTCTTTGGTGTTTGCTTGATCTGGTCGCAGACTACCCGCCTGTGCACGACCTCCCCCCGGCCTTGGGCGCTGCAGTCAGGTCCTACAATTGGCCGACCGTCACTGGGCGTCGTCGACGTACCACACCTTCCCCTTCACTGCGCCCACCACCTCCGCCCTTCACTTACCTGTTTGCTTGCTTGCTTGACTGCATCCAGACATCTTGCGGTCAGCCATGGACGAAGATGAAGATTGGAGCATCTACTCGGCCGCTCCAGGTACCATCACTGCCACAACTCTTTTTTTTCCTGACACATCCGGCTGTGATATGGTTGGGTGGGTGGGTTGCTGCAGGGCTCAAGGTGGGCGGCTTCGTTGACTACATCCAGTCAACGTGGGGCAGGAACCCACACTGTTGCGGTGAGCCAATGCAGCACTTGCTCCACATCCCCAGCTGGGAGCGCGGCTCTGGCCTCCCACGGTACTGTTGCCCTCTGCCCCAAGATATATCTGTCGTTTAAAAGAACATGTGTGCGGGTGTTGAACATGTACATGTCAGTAGTTACTTTGCATGTTTCTTGTTTGTGTGGTGTTTCCTCCTGCCTGGTGCTGCAAAGGTGGCTGCCGTTGCCCGACCGGGCAAGATTTTTGGCGGAGGAAGACAAGTTTGGCGATGAGAGCTCCGTGATCGTAACTCCCCTCAAGATCATGCTTGGAGATGGTACACTTACTCGGTCCGTTGACCTTACCACTGTGTGCTGCTCACCTGTGGGGGGTTTGTGTCACAGCGGGCTCAATCTACGTGCACACTTGCGCAAAGGGCTGCGGCAATATTGATTGGCTTTACCAGACCAGCTAGTCACCTTCTTGTGCTGGTGTCACGTGCCAAAACCCAAAAACAAAAAAAAACGCAATTTCCTGCGGTGTTCTTTCCTTTTCCTTCCCGCTCTGTTCTTGGCTTGTCCCACAACCAGGCGCCTTGCCTGCGGTGTTGGCTTCAAGAAAGACCGCCACGGTGTGTGAGAGATTGAGCATGGTGCAACCTGTCAATGGGTTACTTCGAATTATTAATCCAATGAATCAATATCCACCTTGCGGCGAAGTGGGCGTAGCGTCCCCATGTGGGGGACTGGCGCGGCCTTGGTCATGGGCCACGCACTGTCGTGGCCTGCGCCTGGCGCGTCAGTCAACCGGAGACGCACCCCACTCTCACCCAATGTACGTACCCATGACTCAACCACCAGCTTTTTTTGAATGGTTCTTGATCTCCTCCGCCGTGTAGGAGCTGAATGCCGTGGCCTTTTACCTCATCGCGGATCACCATAGTATGTTATCCTTTCTTGCCACATATGGTTGCATGTCAACATTTTATTTCTGTCGACAACCAGGTCGTTTAAACCCTAAAACCTGCGCAGTTCCTCCATGAGCGCGTGTGCCTCCAACTGCTGCCGGGGCAGGGCGAGGCGCTTCACCCAGCGGACCACCACCTCCTCGCCGATGCCGCGGAAGTCCAGGCCCCGAGCGTGCAGGCCGCGCAGCCACGGTGCCACCACCTCGGCGAAGGGATGCGGCCACGCGTGGTGATAGAGTTCAGAGGCCGGGCGCACGGGGAGCACGGCCGCTATGTCGGCTCCGTGGGCCAGCAGGAGGTCGACCGAGTCCAGGTCGCCCGGGCAGACGCAGCGCAGGGCGTGGGTCGGGTCGAGGCCGGCCCGGACCAGGGCGCCCAAATTGGCCCGCAGCCGCGGCTGAGCCGGTATCTGGCGCAGGCCCGCCAAGCTGCCGACAGGGCACTGGGCCGACATCGCGAAACCGAGCCGGGCGAGGTGGTCGATGATCCGCGGCGTAGAGTCGAGGAGAATAGGGACTAGCCACGCCTCTGCAGGCGTCTGGAGAATTTTGTTTGTTTTTAAACAGCATTAGCAGGGAGAAAAACAATAAAATAAACATGAAGGAATCAAGTATTCTTGGGAAAATGAGCTGTACCGGGAGCACCAAGCCATGTCCGCGCAGGAAGTCCACGTGGGCAAGCACCCACTCGTCCCTGTCCAGACGCCGCTGGTCGTTGGAGTGTAACCAGCACAGGAGCTCGCACATCGGCTGCGAGATCGTGGTGCCCAGCTGTCCGCCTCGCTCGGCCAGCAGCCGGGCCACCTCCAGCTTCTGCGCGTTGGCGTGGGCCGACCTGGGCGCTCGCTCCAGCAGCAGCCGCATCGGGGTTCGACGCTCACGGCCCTGGGTTATCATTGCAGTAGTGAGTGCGTGTGCGGTGGCGCGTGTGTGCGGTTGAGGTGTGTGCGGTGTACGCACGGTGGTTGCTGTGGGCGAGGCACCGCGGTCGAGCAGCAGCTGCACCAGCGCGACGGAGGGCTCTGCGGCCACACAGGCCACGTGCAGCGGGGTGGTCCTGTTTCCTGGTGGCCATTGCTCGTTCACGTTGGCCCCGTGCTCGAGCAGCAGCTCCACCACTTCCACCGCACTTTCGCTCCTCTGTGTGTCGTGTGTGTTGGATGAAAAAGCTGGAAGTTGCGCGTGTGCTGTTGTGCGTGTCGTGCGATGCGTTGTACCTGGCAGGCGCGGTGGATGGGGTAGAATTGGGCGCGGAGGTGCGCCGTCCGCTGGTGCGCGCGGGCGCCCCGATCGAGCATGGCGGCGACCACCGCCAGCGGGCAGTCTGGCCACGGCCAGCAGGAATGCGAGGCTGCAGTCGTGGCCGGCCGGCATCTCGCGCAAAAGGAACTCGATCGTCTTAACGCGTCTCCTTTCGCACGCCTCCTCCAATGCTGTGTGTCCGCACAACGCACACAACACACGACACACACGACACGCACTCACATTCAGACATGGTCGGGAGATTGCGACAGCGTCCCACCGGGAGGGAGGTGGCCAACCTGTGTATTGCCTTCGGTTGTGCGAGTTGAACAGGTCGGCCTTGAACTCACCGCACCGCTCCAGCACCTCCCCTGCCAACTCCACTTCCCCCGCCTCGCCTGACACGACACGCACCACGCGACACACGCGACACGTCAGCAACAATCATAGGCACGAAGAAATGGTGGTGGTGTACAGGTGGCGTGGAACAGCGCCGCGAGCGTGTCTGGCTGGGTCGCGGGCGACTCGAGCCACGCGCGCACCATCTGCCCGGCGATGGCCGGCAATGAGGCCAGCACCGCCTGGAACCCCGAGCCGCCACCGCCGCCGCAGCCCGCCGCCGACACCTTCGCCGGCGACAAAAAGAATTCGGCCGGCCGCTCGATCGTCACACCCAGGTCGAGCACCAGCGCCCGCACCAGCTCCACGCTGCGGCTCTTCACCGCCCACGCCAGCGGCACCACCCGCGCACCACCGGCCCGCTCCTCGGCCACCGCCGCCGCAGGGCGCGCGTCGGGCCGGGCGACGTGCCAGTCCCCGACGAGGGTGCGGGCGAGTCGGCCGATGGGGTGATGGGCGACGGGCGGGCGCACGAGGCGGGCGAAGGCGGCCTGGTGACCGCACGAGAGGAGCCATCGGAGCAGGCCCTGCACCCGGACCACCACCGCGTCGGCGACGGGCGCCTGGTCGGCCGGGTCGAGGGCCAGCCACTGGCTCCACTGGCCACCACTCAGTCTGGTGCCCCACCGCGCGTGTCAGTCGTGTCGTTGGTCGTGTCGAGTGTGTGGTTGTGCGCGCGTGCGAGAGTGGCGAACCGGTGGAGGGTGCGCAGGGAGTGGCGGTAGAAGAGACGCCAGTCGCCGCGCTTGCGCGCGTGCACCCGCTGCTTGCGCTGCCGGTTCCCGCTGCGGCCGACGTCCTCCTCTTTTGCTGCAGGAACTGTCGGCATCGGCCCGCCGAACTCTGCCTCGTGGGCCTGCCCAAATATTACAATATTATATCAAGATAAGATAAGATTATGATTTAATAAATTATATGGCTATCTTTTGGGTTTAAAAAAAAAAAAAATGGGGAGAAAAAGAAATGGGCACCGTTCGCCAGAGGGCGGAGCCGAGGGGCGAAGCGGCCCTCAGAAAGGTGCGCCAGCGCCGGCACACGGCTTCGGCCCGCACCAGGTCGGAGCCCGACAGCAGGCCCAGCACGGCGAGCACCACCTCCACCGGCAGCTCCGGCTTCTCCCCGAAGCCAAAGAAACCACCATCCCCCTCCAGCTCTTCCTCAGGTCCTACCTGCTCCATCTTATTCTCTTGATTTTTTTAATTTTTTTAAGGCGAAATAAAACAAACACTTTCACTCGAAAGGAAAATTTATTCTTTTTCTTTTCCCGCCGGACCAATGCGTTTTTCGATCGAAAAGACAATACCCAATCAAGGTCGTGCAGTGTTAGCCGTGGGCGAAGCGGAGAGGCAAACGGCCGCAAGTTGCCAGCAACACGTCAGGGTTCGTCCCGCATCATCGGACACGCCGTGCCCACGCAGCAGATGTGCTTGCACCTCCGCCGTGCCTCACTGATTCCTAGAAACCGCACGACACACGCAACACACAGCATGATACCACACGACACGACACGCACGTAATACACACATTAGCTTCATCAAGGTGATGGTGAGCCTGGAGGGCGGGCAGACAGGAGAACCTCTGTGCGAGATGCCCATGCCCCAGTAGTGGAAGTGGAACTCGGTGAGGGACTCGAGGGGCAGGGCGGCCAGGCCGGCGTCGGTGATGAGCCGGTCGACGGAGAGCAGGAGGTACTTGAGGCGCGGCAGCCGCGCGATTTGCAACACCTCGCGGTCGCCCACGCGATAGCAGCTCTGCAGGCTGAGCCGCTCGAGCCCGCGCGGCAGGTGTTCGAGCGAGGCGAGCTCCGGGCAGTGGACCAGCACCAGTTCCTTCAGCCTTGTGAGCTCTTCGTTCTTCGTGCTGTCGTCTTCGTTCTTTGCTTCGCTTTCTTTCTCTTTTACTGCTTCATTTTCCATCAGATCTACTTCATCTCTTTCTTCGTTGTCTTCCTTCATTCGCTCGCTTTCCAGTTCCATCCCTAGCGAAGCTTCGCTCTTTGTTTTCGCCGCGTCGCCGTCGCTTTCGTTCTTTGCTGTGGTGCTCGCGGACTGGTGGCCCGCGATGGAAAGCTTGGCGTCGATGATGGACAGGAAATCGACGAGGCCGGTGCAGAAGGCGATCTTGAGTGACTCGAGGCCGCGCGCCGTGGCGGGCGCCAGGTGGCCGAAGTGGGCGTCGGTCAGTTGGAGGTTCTCCAGCGTGAGGCGGCGGAACGACGGACGCGACGGGAGGCGGGCCAGCAGGGTCGGGTGGCCAATGAAATCGAACCCGCAGCCATCGATCCGCAGCTCCTCGATGCTCGTACACAGCTGCGCCACCGAGTCCAGAGCTCTGCGATTGTGTTGTGTCGTTGGTCGTATCGTGTGTGTGGCGGATGTTAGTGTATTGGCACAGCACAAAAGCTGGCCTAGTTGGAGGTGGTACTGGAGGAGTGTGCCGAGTCGGGACTGGATCTCATCGGGCCTCTCCTCGCGGAGCTCCTGCTCCCGCCCGAGGAATCCGTCCTCATCATCAGGCACGCGCACGGTCAGCGTCCGCACGGTTGACATCACCAGCGCCCTGAAAAGGGGGTATGAAAGCTGTAGTCAATTTATTTATATAAATATCTGTCGGGTTACGGTACAGTATTTATTTCCGATTTTTATCTTAAAATGCAACAAAAGATAATAAAATTCAAATGCGTACCGCCAGAGGGGAGAGACGAGGGCCACCGACCGCAGAAGGAAGTTCCTGTCGGCTGCGCCGCCATCGCCGCCTCGGGCATGAGCGCCACTATGCCCTGTTGGGTGGGGCTGCTGGATGCAGTCCCGGTGGAGCCAACCCACCACCTCGGCCCACATCTCCACCGGCAGCGTGTCGCTTGCGTCCCTCTTCTGCTTCGCTGTGTTGTGGTCCATGGTGTGTTATGGTTTTGCGTGAAGGCGTGTCCCGTCCTTTTTCTTGGCTTGGTCGGAGCCACCAACAGCAATGGCTTCACTTTCAAACGCCTTGACCCCTTCCCTATTCATTCCTTTCTGGTCGGCACCACGACAAACGGACAGCACTCCAGCCGGGCTCCCCCCATCTTCTGTCATTTTCCTTTCTTTATGAGCTTGGCTAAGGCGCGTGGTTGGGGTTCATTGATGGTTCATTGTATGGGCAAGAATTGCGCTCTGTACCCGAGGCTTCTGGATTAACGAGCATAGATGGATGTTTTGAATTTTGTTTTAATTCATCGATTGGAGCATCGATTCTATTCGATTGGGGACAAAATTAATTTAGAGGAACTCCATGAAGCCATCATCCTCCTCCTCCTGAGCCTCCTCCTTGCCGAAGTCGAGGGCGCGGAAGGTCATGTCGAGCTTGCCGCCGACGATGGCCATGCCCTTGTAGGTGCCCTTGTTCTTGGTGAGGCCGCTGAGGATGTAGTCGGCGGGCTGACCGATGAGGGTATCGGCCAGGTAGAAAGTGACGGTCACCTTGTCGGTGGCGGGGTCGTTGACGTCGAGGACGAAGGTCTCATCGAACACCGGGTCGAGCATGGGGCAGTTCACGCGGGTGGTGGTGACCTCCTGGCCGGCGACCTGCAGCTTCACCCACGCCTCCTTCTTGGTGATGTTGTAGGCCTTGGTGTCCATGCGCTTGAAGTTGCCGCCGGAAACGATAATCTCGAGCTTGGGCATGTTGATTGCGAGTGGAGATGGACGAGAAGGGGTGGGGTGATCTTCTGCTGACGAAGGGCAAAGAAAAAAAGACCGCGTCAAAGAAAAACGAGAAAACCGGGAAATCTAACTCCGCACCTCCGTCGTGTTTTTGGTTCTGCTAAAATTCTGCACAGTTTGTGCAGCATCTTGTGAGCCCACACCAAGCCACAACAATGACAACATGGGCCAGCTTCAGGAGGCTGGGGAACAACTGTTTGCAGTCCCTTGTTGTAGTTGCAGCAGCAGCCAGTAAGTAGCCTGTTCAGCAACTGAGTTTCCACAAATTTCCGAGCGTGCACGACATTCCAGCGGACAAGACAGAAAACAAACGGAAAACGCCAGCCACAATCAATCAGACAAACATCAGATCCAGTGCAATACACCTGCCACTGCCTCTTCCACTTCCAACAAACAAAGATGCAGCAGGCTTATCAAGTAGTGCGATACAAGGCGGGCGATACGGGTACCTTCGAGGTGCTTACGAAGAAGGGCGCCGCCCTCCAATTCCGTGAGGGCAAGCTTGGCTTCTCGAATGTCCTGTTCGCCGATGAGATCTACACCAACCACTCCAAGGGCGAGCGTGCCAAGGAGGCCGATCTTCTGTACGTAGTTCAAACCTTGGGAATTCGCTCCTTTTTCGCTGCCACTCACTCAGATCGGACTGCATCTGCGAGTGTAGGAAGGCATTCGGCACGTCCAACATCGAGGACTGTGCCAAGGTGGTGGTGGAGAAGGGTGAACTCCAGCTCACCGCTGCCGAACGTCGCGAGAAGGTGAACAAGCGCAAGGCCGAGATGAGTACGCCGCATCCCTCCACCGCACACACAAGCACTCTCAGTTTCCACTGCAAATGAATTAACGCGCGATCCTCTGCTGCTGGCGCAGTCAACTACATCCACAAGTACTACATCGATCCGAGGACCAAGACGCCTCACCCGGTCGTGCGCATCGAAAACGCGTTCGAGCAGATGAAGGTCAACGTCGACCCCGACGTACCTGCCGAGCGCCAGGTGCAGGAGAAGGTGCTCAAGAAGCTCCCCGAGATCCTCCCCATCAAGCGCTCCGAGATGAGCGGCACCCTCTCCAGTGCGTTTTCCCGCCCAGATCAAAACAAAATGATGATCTCGCTGCGCGTGTGAGCGCTACATGTTGCTGACTTCCCATCTTTTGTGTTTTTGTTTTTGTTGTTGTACACCAGTCCCTACCAAGGTGATCGGTCAGGCCATGGGCACCGTGAAGAAGTACGCCCAGGTGAGCGGCGAGAACTACTCGTCGGGCGCCGCCACCATGCAGGTCTCCATCGTGCCCGGTGGTACGCCTCCCTCCCCGCGCGTAGAGTGGGACTCTCGCATGAGTTAACAATCGGTCGTGGCCGTACCGGTGCGGTATCACAGACTACGACGCGTTCATGACGGACCTTAGAAACGTCACCAAGGGCGAGTTCACGTTTGATGTGGACGGCCAGTCGGTGGCGACCATGGAGGAGGAGCCCGGCGCCGGGGCCAAGGGCGGCAGAGGTCGCGGCGGCAAGGCTGCCCGTGGCGGCGGCGGACGTGGCGGCCGTGGCCGCGGAGCCAAATGAGGGGCCTCCGCGGGCCTCCTTCTCCGCCCCCCTCCCTGCGCGCTCCCTGGCGCGGGGTTCGATCTCGAGGCTGCGCTCCGCCCCTCCCATCCCCGCACACGTCATCATCACGGGGCCGGGGAGGGGCTCGAGCCCCTGCCCCCCCCCGCGACGCATCAGCTCTTGGTGGTGCCGCTCCAGCGCGCGGTGGAGGACTGGTGGATGGCTCGCTGCGCGCGCGGCCTGGGCAAGTGTTCGCGTCACCGTTGCACTGGTCGACGGCGCGGACTTGCCCATTTGATCGGATTCCCCTCGGGGGGACGGGCCGTGAGCGAGTGTGTGTGACCATAGCCCTCAGCCTATGGTCGCCATCGCCTTCATTGTCCATTCTCAGCAAGAGGCAGTGAATGAATGAATGAAGCGTAGCGTTGCCATCTCCACCTTGTTCTTCTTCTCCTTCTCGACAGCTCCATCTCGTCTTCTTCTTCTTGGGTTTGAGGTTTATTGTGGAAGATTGGCTCTTGTACTCAGGAGCCAGCAAGAAGAAGATGGAGAGGAAGTAGAGAGTGGGGGTTTAGGAGGACTTGTTCTGTTTCTTGGCGGCGGCGTGGGTTGTGGAGAAGTGGTCGAAGGCGAGGAAGTAGAGGCACACGAGGACGAGGCAGAGGCCGAAAGTGTTGGAGAGGATGCCGGCGACGAGGACCTCGCGACGCAAGATGCCGGTCCGCAGGTAGAGATGAAGAGCGTGGAAGGTGATGCCGCCCACGTAGGACGCCATCGCGAAGTAGTTGAGCCGCGTGCGCGCCTTGTGATCGGCCACGCTGCCGAACATGCCGAAAAGGAGGCCCACCACGGCGAGCTGGAAGCCCATGAGGCGCGCCACGGCATTGGCCACGAGGGGCGACATCATCGCCGACGATGATCCCTCGATGGCGGGAACGCCGACCACGCCCGTCTCGATCACGTAGTGCAGGACCTCCTCCGGGAAGAGTAGAAGGAGCAGGCCGACGAGGAGGCAGGCGGCCATGTGGTAGAGGGTGCTTCCGCCCCAGAAGCCCAGGCGCAGGGTGCGATTAAGCAATGTGACCAAATTCATGTCGCTACTCCAAGTATCAATCAAACAACGGCAATTAAATCGCGATTCACAAAATCTCCGCCGATGTTGCGTCAAATCGAGGTCGAGGAAGTCAAGATGGAGGTCGAGCCACTTGATGCCGTTGATCGGATCGTGTGCTTATGTTGCCCCAGACGAAGCAACCTCCCGGATTTCTTTGTTTTTTCTTCTTAGTGTCTATCTCGCTTGAAAAAAACTTCGCCAAACAAGTACGGGACGGCAAGACGACTGACTTTACTTTCATGATCTCTCACACTTCTCACTCTCTCTTCTTCTTCTCTCTGTCGTACAGCCTTTGTGGGTGGTCAGGCGCCGTGCGTTGCGTGTGTGTGCGTGCAGTCGCTGCTCATCGCGCCCCCAGGGCGCACTTATGGCTTGGCCGTACCGCACTTGCGGCACTCCATTCGCGAGGCGAAGTTCATGTCGCTGCAGCCCGGGCAGTACCAGTCGCCAGGTCGCTCACCGCCACCACCGCCGCCGCCGCCGAAGCCGCCACCGCTGCTGTAGCCACCACCCCGACCGCCATAGCCGCCACGGCCGCCGTAGCCGCCGCCAGCACCCGAGTCCGCGTCACCGCCGCCGATGGGCTTGGCCGCGCCACACTTCCTGCACGCGTCGCGCGAGGCAAAGTTCATGTCGCTGCAGTCCGGGCAGTACCTGCGTCATATCACATAGTGATCAGCTCATCGTCCGATTACAATTGGATGGCACAACATGCGAAAAAATCGCAAGAAATGGAGAATGATGGGCGAGGAGATGATTGATCTACGGTACCAGTCACCGGGACGTCCGCCGCCGCCGCCGCCACCACCCGAGTAGCCGCCATAACCGCCGCCACCTCCACCGTAGCCACCGCTCGAATAGCCGCCATAGCCGCCACCGCCACCGCCCGATTCAGCGCCAGCCGGCTTGGGGGCGTTGCACTTGCGGCACTCCCTCCGCGACGCGAAGTTGAGATCACCGCAGCTCTCGCAGTCCCAGTCACCAGGCCTCCTGGAGCCACCGCCACCAGAGTAGCCGCCGCCACCCGAGTAGCCGCCGCCGCCGCCGCCGTAGCGTCCGCCCCAGGACTGACCGCCACCGCCGCCGCCTACGGGAGCGCCACCCTCGCGCGGGGTACCGCACTTACGGCAGGCATTCCTCGATGCGAAGTTGTGATCTTTGCAGTTGGCGCAGTTCCAATCTCCAGGCTTGAAGTCCATCTTCTCTGTATTTACTGTGTACATAGAAGAAGGTGTACGATCCGCGGATGATCGCATCGCATCATCAGCCAACCAATCCACGCAACGTTGCTTTGCTCCTCCAGTCCACTCACTCCACTCGATCTTCGAATTCAATTCCTCTACGCGCGCGCAATAAAAGCCATCTTGGGACGGGGTTTGGGGAGAGGTGGCACGTACATCCTGGTCTTGATGATCGCTAATGAAAAAAAGAAGAAAAAACCAGAAATGCCGTTTTCGCGGCTCCTTGTCGACAGTCGCGTTCCTGTCGCAGCATCGTCGCAAGCCGCGTCGCCAGTTGGCCATTGGTGCAATTTCAGTGTTCGATCAGCACGCATTTGATCGACACATCAACAGCTGCCTAGAGTAATTACTACAGCATGTCCGTCTACGGTAGAACCCACGAGCACGGTGCCCCTGAGCTCCACCACCAGAGCGAGGAGGATGACGACTGGGAGACGGATCCCGTACGCCCCTCATTATAATTTCAGCAATTTCAAATTTCAGATTTGGCTTTCTTGGTTATCTCACCTCCCTTGTTATCTTTACGCAGGAACCCGCCGTACGCCCCCCTCCATTATTTATTCGTGTCTTTGATGCTCACACCTCCACTCATTTTCTTTCGAAAACCAATTCCTCTTCGATAATTCCAGAACCCGTACGTGTTTCCTGCACCCACAGCATTTGTTTTAATGCATGAGCTCATTTCTTTTTTTAACTTGCATTTGTTTCTTCCCTGCTGCAGCATCTCCGAGAAGGACCAAAGGTGGGGCGCTGCCACCTTGCCTCAGGTACCACCTTCACTCCATCCAAACACTACAGGCCAGTCTGTGACGCTTCTTGGGTGGTCGCACTGTGACGACAAAAGAATGATGAGTCAAGAAACTTGCAGCAGCAGTACCCACCACTAACCAACACCCAACAATGTGACGCTACACTTTGCAGGACGGCAAGGAGGTGCAGGACCTCCACAGCCTCCGCCAGCAGGTGACAAGCCAGCACGAAACCTTCGTGGCCCAAGACTTCTCCAACAAGTACGTCTTCCGATCCGCTTCTCATCCTTCTCTTCGCGCATTGATCCTCTCTCTCTGTGTCGAGTTGTTGTGTGCTGACTGCTTCTCTCTCTGCATTTTGCCTATGAAACATGAACAGGAAGCACGAAGTGGGCTCCTCCTACGGACAGGACAAGCTCCGCAACTAGAGCGAGCGCCCCCTACCCCCTTTCCCACTTTTGGCGTGGCCCTGCCGCAGACCACCAAGCGCAAGACCTCACCACCAGAGCTGTACACCAACGTTGTTGTTCTTCTGCTACACAACCGAAGAATTCTTGTTCTCCATTTCATTCGTTTTGAATACGAATTTATTATTTTTTTGCTGACGTGGCGTTGCTCTGGCCCAGAGAGCGGCCGAGATTTCGTTTGGCATCTGCCAAGAAGGGCTTCTTCTTGCACGACGATCGATCTCGCACCATTCACGGAAGTCCTCAATCGCCACAGCGCCACTTTTTCTTCCATAGATCACAGGAGGAGGAGAGAGGAGCAGGAAGGAGTTCAAAAACGATAATCTCTCAGAAAAAAATGGAAGGTCAGCAGGGGGGAGGCGATGGTGCCGTGGAGGATGTGGCGCGCGACATTGAGCGCTTCCAGCTCAGCGGCGAGGGCGGTTACCAGCCGCAACGAGGCTCTGCATCCGACGCACCGCATGCTGCACCACCCACGGGGGTGGAGCTGCAGCGACGCATCTTCACCCACAACAAGCCCCACTCATCGGGTGGCCTGCAATGGGTCGACGAAGTGGAGCTCAAGAAGCAGCGCAGGTTCGTAATCGAGCACCTTCAATCAAAGCCTTCATTAATTCATTTCATTTCATTTCATTTCAATTCCTTTTTTCCTCTACACAGCGTGGCAGTTGATGTCTTGAAGCAGTTGGGGCAAAACATCCTCGAGGGCAAGGATCTCACCAAGATCGCTCTGCCAGGTAACACGTTGCTTCTTTTCATTCATGAAGTATTGGCGTGTCGTTCGTCGTAGCCTGATCTTTTCTTGCCGCGGTGGTGGTGCGCAGTATACTTGTTCGAGCCTCGCTCCTTCCTCGAGCGTCTTGCCGATGGCTTTTCCTTTGCTCCCCACTTCCTTCGCAAGGCCGCCGGTACTGCTGCCCGCTCTCTTCCTGTGTGCCCGTTCGCGAGGTCGCTCTGACATCCACCGGCAGAGGCCAAGGATGCGCTTGAGCGTCTGAAGTACGTCATCGCCTTCAGCGTTGCCGGCCTGCACCTCACCGCCACCCAAAAGAAGCCCTTCAACCCCATTCTTGGTATGCCTGGCCTTCCTATTCCGATGGACTGCTACCGGGTCATTAACGACAACGACAACAACAACAACAACACAGGCGAGACGCACCAGGCCTTCTTCGAGGACGGCACGGCAGTGTACTGCGAGCAGTCGTCGCACCACCCGCCGGCATCGAACTTCCAGGTGCTGCCGCCGGACGACGCCTACCGGCTGTACGGCTTCGGCATCTTCTCCGCCCACTGGAAGGGCAACGTCATCCACGGCCTTCAGAAGGGACCCAACCTCGTCGAGTTCCCCGCCGATGGTGCGCCGCCACCGACACACACCACACACACCCACACACACCACCCAACGTGGCTCACACTTTTGATCGCTCACCAGGGACGATTATTTCGATTGAGTTGCCGCACGCCATCTTCAAGGGCCTCATCTGGGGCGATCGTATTCAGGACTACGGCGGCTCCATCACCTTCACCGACAAGAAGAACGACCTCGCGTATGCGAACCCCTCTTCTCTCTCTCTCTCTTACTCTTTCTTTCTTTCTCTCCCTCTGGCTTCCCATCTACCACACTCTTGGCTCACCCCGTGCTTGTACCCGCGCAGCTGCGAGTTGACGTTCGAGGCTCCGGGCTGGGTGGCTTCCTGGTTCTCCACCCCCAAGCACCCGTCCGATTGGCTGAGCGTACCCTCCCCCACCCCCCTCTTTCTCTTTGTTTTAATTTATTCAATTTTTATTAATTATAATTTGTTCAATTTAAATTAAAACATTTATTTCTTGATGTGGACAGGGCGCCATCTATCGAATGAGCACGCGCACGAAAAACAAGAAGGACGTGCTGGCCAAGGTCGAGGGATCCTGGCTATCCCACGTCGACGTTGATGGCAAGAGGTATCCCCTGCGCACCTCGCTAACCTGATCACCGGGCTCATCATCACCATCGTCATCGAGCCCGGCCCTCGTTTCTTCCTGCCCGTCAAGAATTCTTACTGATTATTTTCCTGTTGGCCGACCCACCCACCCACCACCGCAGGTACTGGGACCTTAAGGAGGTGGCGCCGTGGTCCATTCGACCCGCGGACAACCCGCTTCCGTCGGACTGTAGATATCGAGAGGACCTCCAGGCCCTCCTGCGCGGCGACGAGGAAGAGGCCCAGCGGTTCGTAGACGCTCAACCCTCCCATTACTACAGAATGAAAATGATAAATTACAACAAATAAGCTGATGATGTTGCGCGCGCGTGTGCGTAGGCTCAAGGTCAAGCTGGAGGAGAAGCAGAGGAGGGAGGCCCGACTGAGGGACGAGGGCGAGGCCGCGGCTCGCGCGAAGAGGTCTCGTGGTGACAAGGGCGCCAAGTGAGGCCCGTAAGGCGTCGACGCCCGACCTTCGTTCTGGGTGTCGTCCTCCCCAGCGAGCTGGCAGGAAGGAGTCTTGGTGTTGTTTTTCGGCCGTTTTTGTTTTTAGTGCGTGCGCAGCTTGCCCCCAATAGATCTCTTCTACACACTGGGCCGTGTTTTTTTTTGGCGTGTGCCGTGTCGAGCACGTTATGTGGTGTGTGCTCTTTGTGCGTGTCGTGCGGCGTGAACTGTTACTGCATTCCGCGAGTTCCTGGTGCGCCACGCGGCACCAACACAAATTCACTGCACGCCAAAGCAAGAAATGCGCTAGCGGCCACCCAACAGACCACACTCGGAGTGCACACATGCAGGACACGATGGCAACCACCTTCAAGGGCACTGTGCAGCCGGTGCCGTTCGGTGTCTCCGCCTCCTACCCACCGCGCAGCGGCAACTTTGTCAGGTTCCCCCCCGACATATTAGATATTTTATTTTTGCATTTTTCAATATTGAATATTTATTGTCCGGTGTGGCGTGTGGCGTGTGGCGTGTGCGCACGCTAGGCCGCTGGTGGACGGCATACCGGCGTTCACCCGCATCGGAGCGGCGATCAGGGACGCCAAAGCCCGGGTGTGGATCGGCGTCTCCTTCATCGACTACCAGTCCTTCGTCTTCCCGGGCTTCGAGGCCTCGGGCAAGAACGACGGACACTTCTGGACCCTCCTCCGTCGCGTGGCCGAGCGTGGCGTCGACGTCCGCCTCCTGTACAGCCCCGCACCACTTCCACTCTGGCACTCACCGACGTCCTACTTACCGCGTGCGGTGTGTGTGTGTGTGGTGTGCGGTGTGTGGTGTGTCGTGCCAGGTTTTGGTCCAACACGCGATTCTTCAAGAACTCGCACTTTCCAAGCGCGTCGGAGAGCCACGAATGGCTGAAGCAGCTGCACCGGGGAGAGGAAGAGCAGCGCCTCGACTGCGGCATCCTCATCCGCTGGGACCAGTCCAGTACAGCCCGACCCCTCTCCCTTTCCCCCTTCACCCACCACCACTCTTTTCCCGCAGACGACGCACCCCACTGCCACCACGAGAAATCCTTCCTCATCGACGCTGGCCAGGTTCGTATTATTATTATTATTATTAAAAGTTGATATATTGGTTTCTTATTTGTGTTAAAAATGGAATTTATTGATTTTTGTTTTTCACAAATAATGGCAGGAAACGGAGGTGGCGTTCGTGGGCGGGATCGGGATGGGATCGGGCGGGATGGTCACGCCCGAGCATCCGCCGTGCCGGCCCGGCGACCAAAACGACCACCACAACCACGACACCTTCTTCGAGCTGCAGGGTCCTTCAGGTGCACAAACAAGCGCATGTGACACCCACGACACACATGCACCGCACACGACACGCATATTCAACGCACACAACACACGCTGCTCACAGTCGGGTGCTCCAGGGACCGACGTGCACCATCACTTTGTGCAGCGATGGAACGGGGCACTGGACCACCACCTCGCCGGCGGCCATTGGCCCTCGCTCGAGCGGGCCAACAGCCTCCCGTTCCCGTCCAAGCTCACCCCGCCCTCCGAACAAGGTACACTGTAGTGCATATATCTATTTTATAGATTATATCTAGATTATAAACAATATTTATTATATAAACAAAAGAGTTTCATTGGAATTTTGAAAATTAAATAATTAATAATATTTAATAAAACACCAAAGGCAATGCCACGGTGCAGGTGCAGCGCTCGGTGCGGCCGCAGAGCCGAGGAGGCTACACCGACTCCACGCCGACCGTTCTGCCGCCCGACTACCCCGGGCTCCCCACGCTCGACATTCGCGAGGGCGAGCAGAGCATCTACGAACAGTACAAGCTGGGTACTCACCATCACCGCCGCCGCCACCCGTGGTCGTGTGAGTGTGTGCTGTGTGATTGCCCGCACGACTTAGGCGTTCCGCTCATCAACCACATCGCGCATTCAGCGTTCGGTGCGGCCAAGCGTACGATCTACATCGAGAACCAGCACGTGGCCCACCCGCTCCTGCTCGACCTCCTCATCCAGGCCCTCAAGCGCGGGCACGGACCTCACCGCCGCTTCTACCCCACTTCTCGAATCCTTCTAAACATCTCCTGTTCGTGTGCGCGTGTCGTGTCGTGTCGTTCATCGTGTGTCGTGTCATGTGTGTTTATTGTGTGGGTGTAGGGTGGCGGTTGTGTACATGGCGCCGGCGCTGGTCATGCGCGCTGTGTCAGCCGAGTACGAGGCCTACACCCGATGGACCGAAGCCGTGAAGCGAGGCGATACCACCGGTACTGCCTGTCGACTCGTCGTCGGCGTGACCTTGCGCCCACCTGAACCGTGTGTATCGTGTGTGTCGTGTGTGGGCGCCCACAGTTCCGAGGCCCCGCTACGCCGACGTGTGGGTCCGGCTGGCGGAGCTGGCCACCCTCGAGAACTTCGTGTTGGCCGGACTGTCGGTCGCCAACCCCGACCGGCCCCACGGCTACCAGATTGAATACGTGCACTCCAAGGTGCCCCGCCTCGTCCACCTCGATCGTCTCCGTACAAACATAACCATGTGCTTGTCGTGTCATGCGTGCGTGTGTGTCGTGTCGTGCTGCGTTCGCAGGTGGCCATCGTAGACGGCGAGTGGTTCACGGGCGGGAGTGCCAACCTGGTGGATCTCTCGATGGAGAAGGACCACACGGAGCTCAACATCTCCGTGTGGGACAAGCCCGCCGCCCGCCGCTTTCTCGCCGACCTCGTCCACGAGCACTCGGGCGGTACTTACCACCTCACCACCTCTCCCTCTCCGCGTCACTCGTTAACTCATTGTGTGCGTTGTGTGTGTGGTTGCGCGCGTGTGTGTGTTGCGTCGTGTGTTGGGTATTGTGGGCGGTCAGTTGACACGGGTGGCATGACGGACGTGGAGATGGTGGCGACACTCCAGCGCGTGGCCAAGGCCAACGGCCAGGCACTCCGCGCACGTGCGTTTGGCCCCCCAAATCAAACAACGAGAGGTGCCTGGGCGGTACAGAACCGATTCCTCACAGCCTTTTCATGCGTGTGCCCGCGGGAACAGGGAAACCATTGACAGGCCACGCCTTTGCCCTGGACCCGCTCACCTACGGGTCGCAGCTCAAGAACTACTGATCCGGCTCAGCCTGACCAAGGCCAAGCTTGTGAAAGAAGAAGGAAAGCAGCGTGTGCCAAAACAACAAAAAGCTGGTGGTGGCGTCATGGGCAACGGGTATTGGGCAAGGTGGGTGGCCAGTCGTTGACTGGCACTAGCCTCGCACAAGATGTCAATTTTTTCCAGTAAGATGAAACGAAGTAACCCATTGACAGGGTGCACCATGCTCAACCTTCATCATCCGGCCAGGGTCCACTTGAACCTGGTCAAGGCCAGACCATCACCAGCTTATGGTAGGTGGGCTGAATAAAGCAAGAAAGAAATACAAATATTTATTGCAATATGACCTAATAGATCCATCACTGTATCATCACTACCGCACGATGCCGAGGGAGATCAGGGTCTTGGCCATTTAGGTGACGGACTTGTCCATGGGCGTGAAGGTGATGCCAGCTGCTGCTCGGCCTTGCTGCGGCAGTACTTGGGGAAGTTCACGACATGACACGACACACGCGACACACGCGACACCGTCACACGACACACGCGATACACAGTTAGGTTAAGGTGGCGGTGAGAGGTTAAGGTGGTGGTGTGACGTACGACGCAGCCTAAGCAGAGGGGGAGACAGCTGTCCTTCTTGAAGGCGCCGGAGAGGACGGCGCGCACGCTCTCGCTGTCGGTGCGGGCCGAGAGGGGCGGACCGAACGCCGTTTTGATCAGCAAACCTTTTCATCGGGTGGGATGGCTTGCCAGGCGACGGCAGCGCAGGAGGAGGTGACCACGCGCTTGAGGCGGCGTGCAGCACGTTGAGGGTGCCGGGTGAGGAGCGCCAAACAAGTTCTTGGGTGGCCAGCGAGAAAGGAAAAAAGGGAAATGGAAGACTACGCCCAGCCCACATCAACTTTGGCGGACAGGGTGGCGTCGAGGCCGGATGCTGATAAGGGCGAGTGCACACCGAGACCAGCCACGGGTCAGTCATGACCAATGGCTGCTCTTGCAGGAATAAAATTCTGCAGGACGCTTCTGGGCGAGCCAGGGCCGAACACCTTCTTACCCCACCATGAACACGGATTCTGGAATCGGGAAAGATGAACAGGGTGCAGCTCAGCGCACGGGCGAGGAAGCGAGGGAGATAATTCTGCTTGAGGCGGAGGGTAACAAAGCGACACGGTGGGAGCCGGCAGCAAATCGACTTCGCTCCGATTGGCCGTGGAAGTTCCCTTGTCCCGACTAACTTGAGTTCTACAAAGTTCGAAGAAACGCCCAACGTCGCGACGGCAAACAACCACGCCCAACCGGCATAACCTCATCAACCTATTGATGGAGCATCAGCAGCAGCCGATAAAGGCGCCTGTGACCGGTGGCGGTGGCGAGTGGGTCGGGATGGCGAGGTTTGTAGCGGCGGTGGCCGTGAGTGCGGCCGTTGCAGGAGGCCTCACCTGGTGGTGGGTCACGCGTGGCGATCCGTCCGACGAAGAAATCGACCCCGAGGGAGAGTTGCCCTCAAGTACACCCCGCGCTTCGTTCTTCTTCTTTCGTTTTCGTTCATTTTCGCTCTTTTTCGTTCTTTGCGCTGCCGTGGTGTGTGAAGTGGAGGAGGTATGGGCAAA